TTACTATACAGCTTGAAATAACAATTTAACATTTATTAAGTTTTATAACACCTAACAGTATTTTAATATCTTTATTTGAATTTTATTTGGTTAACATGCTTATTAATTCTTTTATGCCAGCAGATATGATAATAATACAAGAGGATGTAATAGTCAGCCATGTTAACTATGTTTGATGTGCAGAATATATACAGCACTCCTCAGATGCCCCGTAAGCATCCATGCTTACAGCCTCGCAGAATGACCTTGATTGACCTCAGGTAGTACTCTGGTGTTTGGCATCCAGTTGTACTAACAGCATGAAATTGAATTAAATTGGAAGTTTTATTTTAGAATGGCTATGTCAATTATGCCTTAGGTCATATTTTTAGCATGCTTAGGGATATTATTTATGCTATGTGGTGTTAAGCAGAAGCCAATCTATCAGTATTAGTTTTGTGATACAGATACAGTGTGTACTAATAGCATGGACTTATACCAGTTGGATCTAGGTGTGAAAATGTTGATTTACCAGTGTGTTTCTTCTTTAAATTTCTAAGATCTATAATTTTAGGGCATTTGTTTTTATCTTTTTCACAATTTGTATTATTCAAATCGTAGAACTAATACTCTGAAATTCCATCGATTGGAGTGATTCCTCTCGTGTGTATGACTTCCTGTATATTTTTGTTTTGAATGGTTAAAGCCTCTTTATTTTGAAAATGGCATTGATATTCCATGTAAACATGGTAAAAGCATGTTATAATGCTACCTAATAGTGAAATTGAAGAGTATAGTAATCTGTATATCAGCATGCAGAAGATATTGTAGCCATTAATATAAAACACTTGCATCAAAAACTGACATGGTCAAAGTGACCTACATTGCTAAGACTAGGTCAAAACAATTCAATGAAGTAATTTCCTTTTCATCATGGATCTTTACAACTCTTCCAAACGAAACTCACTGCTTTGTTTATATCTAAGATTTACATATAATGACAGCACTCATAATTTTTTTTTCTCAAAAAAGACCACTTGATTCTTTAAATTAGATTGTTATAAGTGTCACCTATACTCTCTAAACAATTGAAGTAAAGGGTTTATCTCCAATTAAATATGACATATGATATTATATCAATACAAAACTCATCAGAAATAAGTATGAAATCTGGTTAAATCTGAAATGTAAAAATACAGCAGACAAATAGCCACGACCTTTAAATTTAATACACATAAAGTTTCACATCCGATTTTATCGTAATTACTTGTACAAAATACCAGTAAGTGGTTATTTCAGTGTATGTCAGGGTTGATTTAGTATTTATCTGTGTACAGTACAGCTACAGATAGTTTAAAGCTATGTATGGCTGTCAAACTGTGCTCCGAGGATAAAATGTAATTTTATGAAGTACATGTATTTGAGAGTAAATGTACCTCTTTTTACTGATTTATTGTTTTTTATGTAAAAAATGGTAAACAACAGGTAAACATGTTGTTTGTGGTAAATAGACCAGTGGTGAAATATTGTGGAGTTTATATGTAATACAGTCCTGACAGTATATAAGGTCTGTTCTTATTGTTAAACTGTTCTAATATCATGGTTCCAGCCGAACTGTAAGAATCTCAAAATCTTTTTTACTTTGGTTGTCATTAGGGCCACCATGACTACAAAATTTGGTGGTCCCAGTGAAAATTTGATGGTTCTGTATTTGTAGTTGATGTTTTGCTATTGATTATTTCCATAAGTATTAATTAAAATAAGTCCAATTAAATATGGTTTAATATGAAATATTGATATACATTTTGATTAGGAGCTACAATAAATACCAGAAAGCATAAAGTAGAATATAACCACCATAAAGTTTTAATTGGACAAACGGACCACCACTACAATCAAAATTAGTGGACCTACCTGATATGTGGTGGACCAACAGGACTGCCAGTTTGCAAAAACACTTTATAACATGTCAGACCAGTTTTGCTTTTATGTTCTGGCAAATTTGCTCCAAATGTACATTGTACTTGTAAGCTACATGACTTCTTATTTTGATCTGAAAGTTTAATTGTTGTAACTGCTTGTGAAATAGTCTGACTTTTAGTAACACTTTTTACAGTGTTGTTTAATCCAACATAGGATTCTTCTCCTAAAGTAAAAATAAATTTCACAACAGAAGTTTTAAACAATAGTTGAAAAATGTAAAAAAGGGAGAAGAAAGAAGGGCAAAAAGGGTTTGACATGGCTTAGGAAAGGCCTCATGTAGAATTTATTTGCCATGTGACAAAACGTTGTGTTATTTGCAGTTTTATTGTGTCTGTTAAGTCACACCTAAACACTTAAAATAAATGTAATTGTTTGAATTTGGAATATTTCTTTTTCCTTATTTTCAGTTTTCATGTTTTCTCTTGAGATTTTTTGTCTGATCTTTATGTTGTCCTCTTCTGAATTGTAATTCTTACTTATGTCAGAGGAATTTATCAGAAAGATTGTTCTCTTTTATAAAGCACTAGATCTGCATCCAGACTGTTGTATATAGACCTTCAAATGTGTCTTAATGATGTGATGTGTGAATTATTATACACCTTTCTCTTTGTTACGAATCTTCATTTAAAGTTGTATGTTAAATCTAGTGTGAAATATGCATGTATATAAACGTTTGTTGTGCAGAGTTGTAGGGCAGGTGATGTTGACTGTAAACTTTGAAGGCTGTTTAAAGTTAGAAGTACATTTTATATTCTTACTAAGTGTCTAATGAAGCAAGTAGTGCAAAATGTTGGATTACAAAGAACATTGAATGTGTTTATGTAGTGGGAGTGATTTGTATTTAGATTCCTAATTTCTTTGGGGGATATTGCATTTAATGAGGATAGTGGAAAGCCTGAAGAGACTCCATGACTGTTTTTGTGTCTAAGGTCTTTTTAATCAATAGTTTTTGTCGAGCCTGCGACTTTTGTCGCAGAAAGCTCGACATAGGGATAGCGATCCGGCGGCGGCGGCGGCTACGGCGGCGGCGTTAGCTAACTTCTTAAATGCTTTATATTTTAGAAGGTGGAAGGTCTGGATGCTTCATACTTTGTATATGGATGCCTCATGTTACGAAGTTTCCGTCAGTCACATGTCCAATGTCCTTGACCTCATTTTCATGGTTCAGTGACTACTTGAAAAAAAAGTTCAGATTTTTTGTAATGTTAGATTCTCTCTTATTATAAGTAATAAGATAACTATATTTGGTATGTGCGTACCTTGCAAGGTCCTCATGCCCGTCAGACAGTTTTCACTTGACCTCGACCTCATTTCATGGATCAGTGAACAAGGTTAAGTTTTGGTGGTCAAGTCCATATCTCAGATACTATAAGCAATAGGTCTAGTATATTCGGTGTATGGAAGGACTGTAAGGTGTACATGTCCAACTGGCAGGTGTCATCTGACCTTGACCTCATTTTCATGGTTCAGTGGTTATAGTTAAGTTTTTGTGTTTTGGTCTGTTTTTCTTATACTGTATGCCATAGGTCTACTATATTTGGTGTATGGAATGATTGTAAGGTGTACATGTCTAGCGGGCAGGTGTCATCTGACCTTGACCTTATTTTCATGGTTCAGTGGTCAAAGTTAAGTTTTTGAGTTTTGGTCTTTTTTTCTAATACTATGTGCAATAGTTCAACTATATTTGGTATGTGCGTACCTTGCAAGGTCCTCATGCCCGTCAGACAGTTTTCACTTGACCTCGACCTCATTTCATGGATCAATGAACAAGGTTAAGTTTTGGTGGTCAAGTCCATATCTCAGATACTATAAGCAATAGGTCTAGTATATTTGGTGTATGGAAGGACTGTAAGGTGTACATGTCCAACTGGCAGGTGTCATCTGACCTTGACCTCATTTTCATGGTTCAGTGGTTATAGTTAAGTTTTTGTGTTTTGGTCTGTTTTTCTTATACTATATGCAATAGTTCAACTATATTTGGTGTATGGAAATATTTTATGATCAATTTGGCAGTCACGCAGGTTTTATTTGACCTTGACCTCATTTTCAAGGTTCATTGCTCAGTGTTAAGTTTTTGTGTTTTGGTCTGTTTTTCTTAAACTATAAGCAATAGGTCAACTCTATTTGTTGTATGGAAGAATTGTTAGCTGTACATGCCTGCCTAGCATGGTTCATCTGACCTTGACCTCATTTTCATGGTTCATTGGTCAATGTTTAGTTTACTTGGTTAATGTTAAGTTTATGTGACAGTTGTAATAAAGCTTTATATTTAGGACTATCAACATAATATCAATGATTAGTAAAGAAGGCGAGACATTTCAGCGTGTGCACTCTTGTTAAGATAATGCCAGATGGGTAACTTGGCAGATTTCAGCTATAGCCTTTTGGTTTCCAGCAAGGAGTTTATTTTATTTTAAGAGGTTTCTAAGAATATAAGTTTACATCATCAGAGTGTATACTGTGTATTAATTATTATTCGTGGGATACACATTTTTTGTGGATTTCATGGGTGAATGTTCAACAAAGTGAAAATTTTTCTGTAGGCTTGTAATACAGACTTTGGCAAAACCATGTAATCATTTATCCTAGAAAATACATATTTATCGCAATAAACTAAAATTGAAACCCACAAATATAAATGAATCCACAGTAACCTATAAACTTCAATTCAGCTTTCATATTTTCATATTCAAAAGTTTTCAGCAAGTTTCAATTAATTTAGATAACCTTAGTTTTATTTGGCAAAACCTGTCGGAATTTAGAGTCCTCTATGCTCTTCAACTTCGTTCTTTATTTGGCCTTTTTATACTTTTTTTATTTGAGCGTCACTAATGAGTCTTTTGTAAATGAAACACACGTCTGGCGTACACAATTTTAATCCTGGTATCTATGATGAGTTCATTTAGATAGAAAATGAGTAAAGCATCATTACAGTTCAGCCATGTGCCAAAGTTCAAGTTTCCCTTATGGCCAGCAGAGATAGAACACTGACAAACATTTCCTCTAACTGTTTATACATTGTAACATTTTATTTACAGAAATGTAAGAGTTGATGAAGATGATGAACCATACAGGAAAAGTAGTACAGCCACCATTAGATCTGAAGGAACAGGAACAGTTTACTACAACAAGGTACCAGTAGTAATATATTATAATTGTCTTTATTTTGTTCTTCAGTGAAATGTCACATGAAAGTGATGGTTACTCTAGAATACATTCAGGTATAACTTTATTTTTTTTAAGCAACCTGTATTAATTGACTTGTACATTGAAATATAAAGCTCAACAATGCTATGATTTTGAAGAAAGGCATAACAGATTCAATTTAAGATTGTAACTTTTACAAACACAGTTATTCTTTAAGTATGAAAAAAAAAATCAAAGAACATCTGAGTATAGTTTTTCTTGCTATAATTATGACAAAAATTAGTTTATTTGGTAAATGTCTTGTTTTCACTGACAAAGAATATGATGTTACAGTGTACACCTTTCTAAATGACTTTATCCTAAATACCATTTCAGTCTTTAAGGCACAGTTAATTATGGGTATATATTTACTGTTCTTATAGGGTCCATTTTGTTGTCTGAAATTTTGATATTCATCATTTAAGAGGTTTAACTATATATGTTATTCAGAGACATTGGATGTTATAGAGGAGAAGATTGATGAACATTTTTAGATTAATGATATAAAACAATTCAGAATTTTAATAATGGTTAGATTGTTGTTTACTCAATGTCCAGTGGCAAATATTTCATGTATCTTCAGAACATGAAAAAATAAGCAATTCATCAAATAAGTATCTAATGCAAACTTGGTGAATACAGAAATTAAAGATTTTGTATTATATTATTACAGCATGGTGGTATCTTACAGTTGTATGACAGTTCAGACAACAGTAGTCTGGATTCACACAGATCATCAATGATGAAAGTTAGGAGACTTTCTAGGTAACAATCTTTTTTCAATCACACAGATCGATGATAGGACTAGGCCATCTTAAAATAAAACCAAGAACAAGCTCAAATCACCCCAAGTATTAAAAATCTTGTCTGATTTTACAAAAGTCAGCATCTCAATATTGCTAGCGACAAGGACTACCTCTCAACAGATATCTTTCATTCATTCATTCATGTCTTTATTTCCTCATAATTGAGATATACTGAATATACAAAATTAATTAAATATCACACAACAAAAGGAATGTTAACGAAATAAAAAAATAATTTGTTGAAACAGGAGGTTAACTAGTTATGATAACTCAACCTTCCCTGATTAACTTGATCAATAAAACCAATATTAAAAATCTAGAAGAAAAAACGGTATTAATTAGGTTGTCTGGTTTATAGCATTGTTGTTAAGGATTTCCAATATTTCTACGGCCTTATGTGATTTTAAAACCCTGGACTACAATAAATTGTGGAGAGTTTTGTACCTGGTATTACTAGGAACTGAAAGAGGCTACATAATTTTGATTCATAATAGTCTCTTAAAAGCTGTAAAATGCAATGTTGTTTTAGCATAGTTTATCAAAGCTTACATATGTCTGATAGGAGGCAAAAAAATATAACATTTCTGTACATACAACCTAATTAAAATCCATTTGCTTTGTATATGGATACTACCATAAACAGTTTTATTAGGATACAACCTCTGTAAATGGCTTACAATATCTTATCATTGATCTTAATATTTGTGGTGTTAGGAAGATTTCCCAGGCTCTATATATTGACATCAAAACAATCAATGTCTGGGATTGGTGCTATGTAATAAATGTTATTGCTTGTCAGTGTTATATAGAACTCTTTTCTTAAGTGAGCAACTTACTGTGACAAGTTTCCAAAAGGAAAAAAGATCCATTTGGTACATCAGTTGGCCCTTTAAGCCAGGGTAGTTTTAGGGGACCAAAATATTTCAGTTAAAGCTGCTTATTAGTCCCCTACCGACGAAGTCGAAGGGGACTTTAGGTTTGCACTCCGTCTGTCTGTCTGTCTGTCCATCCTTCATTCCAGCAAATCAGTTTTCCACACTTTTTAACAGGTAGGGGACTATGTATTGTCATGCAATACTCTCAGAATGCTTGTTTATTTTAACAAATATCATGAATATTTGAAAGAAAGTAATGGTTTTTTTGTCAAGTACAATATTTTGTAAAAGTAAACTTCTATGCTAATTAAGTGAAAGATCTAGTTGATCTATATTAGAAAAGATATTTGAACCATGACTTCCAGTTTATAGTATTGATTATTATCATTTTAATGTTATGTAACTATATAAACCACTTTAAAACATGAATTTTAATGTGATTTAAGTATATTAATGTAGTCATTATGTGATATACCTATTATGGTAATGATAACAATGAACCATTTCTATTTTAGCACATTTGATGTAACTTCCAGATTTCCTAAGCTACAAGAATGTGCACATTTCCACTATGATTTTGTTGAACTAGGCAAAATTAAGGTAAGATATTTCAAACAATTATTTTATTCATTTTTTCTAAATACTGGATAAGTTTTTGAAACCAGTAATTCTTTATTTCTATGCTGCGCCTAGGATAGTACGGGGCATTATGTTTTCCAGTTTGTGCTTCCTTTAGTCTGTTAATCCGTCTTGTATCAGGTTAAAGTTTTTGTTTATTATGATTTGAACTTTTAAATATATGCCAAATTAGGTTTTTGACCAAGGTATCTATGTATGGAGAATTCCGTTAAAGAACCCTCATATGCAGGTGACCCAGTGCAAAAGGAAGAGTTCTTCCCTTATCACACACCCTATTTTCGGTTCAAAATTTCAGCTTTTCACATCAACCAAATTTGCAGAACCTTTTATTTTATTCAGTGTTCAATTTGTTTTCTCCATGATTATGCATGAAATTTTGCCACTGGACATTAAGCAAACAATAATCAATCAACCACAGGATTTAAATTAGACAAATAAGCATAAGCTGAATGAAGCTTGTCTCCACATCTTATTGTCAATGTAATTTTTATGAATATTCTTTGATGTATGTTAACTAAAAATTTTGAGACAGGTATTAATTGGCTTAGGGAATTATCTGATGTTTGTATAACTTATTTTTGATGTTCTGATAAATATTTTGCAATGCTTGTATTGTTTGATTAAAAAAAATAATTATTGCGTGGTTTGAGATCAATGCTATATCTAAATGTCACTGCCTTTATCCATATTTAATTATTCCGATATGAAATACTCCATATTTCTGAGTGATTAAGCTTCAGAGAAAGTTAGCATATAATTGATCCCTTTTAGTGTATCACATTTAAAACAATTTGAGAATAAAAACCAAAAGTAATAAATCATTTCCTAATAATTACATTTGAAATATCAGTAATGATCTCAATCAAATATATGTATTGAGAACAAAAATCTAAAGTTACATATATATATCAAAGTACTGAAGTACTGAACATCGGATGACCACAAGTTCTTGAGGATGGTCAAAAGCACTTGTCTCAGAAAAAAACAACATATCTCTTTACCTGAAACTGAGGTTAATGTACAGAGATATATTTTTTTCTGAGACAAGTTCGTGTGTGGATGATGAATAAATGACAGGAAATTCAACTTCACCGTAATAACTATTATATTGTAGTGATACAAATCAGTATACATGGTGGACACTTTTCTGTAAAAATTCGATTTTTCTAAGATTGGATACGAGTAGGCATTCATATTTTCCCGCAAAAACAATTACAGAGTTACCGGTCCTCGCAAAAAGTTCTCTGAGATATTCTTCCGCATGCTTTAACACAATTTTTCGGTACGTCTGCATTGATATTATCAATGATTTTTTACTTATATATATATATCTAACTACAAAACATTTTCATATTATTAATTTATGTTGTAAACAAAAATATTTTTATCAGTATTCATTGAAGAGATGTATTTATATCAAACGATAAGGAATGTTATTTTGCATTCGTTTATGTGCGCATATTTACCATGTTTATAGATCGGTTACAAACCCAAAACTAATTTACATAATGGAAATCTAGGCGATAGCAATACATCTGAATGACCCCAAGGTCATCGCGATGTAAAAATCAATATTTAATGTTTGTATAAATCAAAATAATGATACTTATAAACTCTTAATTACTTTTTACTTTATAATTGGATGTTTCATTTTGTAGTTTTATTTGGGTGTAAAAACATTGACCATAGCACATTATACATGATGTGCATACACACTTTATACTAAAAACGTGTGTGGACAACCCTTTAACATGTTTAAGACTACAAAACATTCAACTCTAAAATAAAAATAGTTCAAGAGTTAAAAGTATCATTATATGCAAGAAACTTGGTTAGTATGTGTAAGCCAGACCTTAGTTACCAATTATCAGTTTATATATTGAACCATAATGATACTACTGTCAATATGTTTATGAAAAAAAAATTCATGCTTATACTGTCAGGCTATAAGCTGTCAGTTCATACTGGGACTAATACATTTTCTGTTAGACCCAGGTTTTTTAATTACCGGTAAGCTAAACATTAGCTAGCAACACAAAAGCAGTACAAAATAGCCTTGAATAAACCAAAACCAGGTCATTAAACCAGTTCCCAATGAGAAAAAAGAAAAAGACACTTAAATTAAATTTGCCCTTTTTTCTCTTTTGTTTTGTTGACATTAGAATAATAATCATCTTTAAATCTAAATATCTCTATTATTTTTTCCAGGTATGTTTATGTGATGAGGAGCAGGAGAACTATCGACACAATGGAGAAGATTATATGGAGAGAACATTTCTTATCAAAGTATTGTCTAACCAGAAGTCTTGGAATGTCCGTCGTACCTATAAAAACTTTCGTCTGCTGGACAGACAATTACATAAATGTATATTTGATAGGAAGTTTAGTCAGCTTGGTGACCTCAGTCAGCAGGAGGAAGGATCCAGAACATACGAGGTCAGATTTTAAACATTGTACTTCTTTTAAAACCAGTATGACAGGTTGTGAGATTAATCTCTGGTCGAGTTAATCCAAGGACTTTAAAATTGGTATTTGCTGCTGTTCTGCTACGTATGTTGTATTTAAAAGAGTAATTGCAAAGATTGGTAGGCTGGAAATCATATTAATATGTCCAGGTAGGATGACATATCTTCCTGCAAACTGTTGCCTTGTAAACTAGCATAATATCGGCCTAAGTATGTCAGTCTAGTACAAATTATGAATCATATTTATATCCAATCAGCAATTTCTCTTACCAATATGCATGAAACATTTGCCTCTTGACATTAGCTACCAGTCCATCTGTCCTTTAAAACCCTTAAAAAAAAGACTTGCCTTACATTTTGTCATTAATTAGGGTATAACTTGCCTTACATTTTGTCATTAATTAGGGTATAAGTGTAGACGCTGAAAACATTTCTTTTCTTTTTTTTCTTGTCCTAAAAGTTCATTGAAGGTCACCAGTAAGTGAACAACTAATAATTTGTTTTCTAGTCATACAAACACAAATAAAAACTATCTTTACAATTAAAAAGGAAACTAGTTGGAATCTTAAAAATCATTTGTTCATTCCTTGAGTATGCCTGTTTTTCTTATTTATATATACCGGTACAAGGGATAAACAAATCATAGAACGTCATTCAAACAATTGTTTTGTATTCTTCTGAAAGATTTTTGTCGAGCCTTCGACTTTAGTCGAAAAAGCGAGACATAGTGATCCTACATTCCGTCGGCGTCGTCGTTGTCGTCGTTGGCGTCCACAAATATTCACTCTGTGGTTAAAGTTTTTGAAATTTTAATAACTTTCTTAAACTATCCTGGATTTCTACCAAACTTGGACAGAAGCTTGTTTATGATCATAAGATAGTATCCAGAAGTAAATTTTGTAAAAATAAAATTCCTGTTTTTCCGTATTTTACTTGTAAATGGACTTAGTTTTTCTGCCAGGAAACATTACATTCACTCTGTGGTTAAAGTTTTTAAAATTTTAATAACTTTCTTAAACTATCCTGGATTTGTACCAAACTTGGACAGAAGCTTGTTTATGATCATAAGATAGTATCCAGAAGTAAATTTGTTAAAAAAAAAATTTCATTTTTTCCGTATTTTACTTATAAATGGACTTAGTTTTTCTGCCAGGAAACAATACATTCACTCTGTGGTTAAAGTTTTTAAAATTTTAATAACTTTCTTAAACTATCCTGGATTTGTACCAAACTTGGACAGAAGCTTGTTAATGATCATAAGATAGTATCCAGAAGTAAATTTAAAAAAAAAAATTTCATTTTTTCCGTATTTTACTTATAAATGGACTTAGTTTTTCTGCCAGGAAACAATACATTCACTCTGTGGTTAAAGTTTTTAAAATTTTAATAACTTTCTTAAACTATCCTGGATTTGTACCAAATTTGGACAGAAGCTTGTTTATGATCAAAAGCTAGTATCTAGAAGGAAATTTTGTTAAAATTTGTACCTGTTTATCTGTATTTTACTTATAAATGGACTTAGTTTTTCTTCCAGTTAACATTAAATACAGTCTGCAGTTAAAGTTTTTAAAACATTTATTAGATTCATAAACTATCCTGGATTTATACCAAACTTTGACAGAAGCTTCTTACAATCAAAAGATAGTATAGTATCTAAAGGAATATTTTTATTGATTTTTTTCCTCATTTTTGTTGAGCCTGCGATTAACAGCAAAAGTAGGCGAGACACTGGGTTCCGTGGAACCCTAACGAATTTTTAATACTAGGGTTGAAGGGGGCTTGTTGCATGATTGTTTGGTACAGTTGTGGAAACCTTGTTTGAATAAGATATTTCAGTTTCTGATCATGACATCTAATTATAATTCTCCTTCCATGTTATATTTATACTTAAAAAATGTATTACAATGAATTTGAAATTCAAACAGAAGGATTAACAACGGTACTGTAATATACATTTTTTGTTTATTTCAAACCTTCAAAAAGTTTATAAATTTAACTTCAAAAATATTAACTTTGTCCATAACTGAGATTTGAAGTGTAGTCACATGGTTCATTTTTCTGATTATCAACCCTGTTCAAGATACATTAAATTGTGAACTTGTTTATTACAGCAAATAATGAAAATGGAACCTTTTAATTTCTACAGCACACGAATACTATGATTTTATGATGAAAGTATACCCCTACAAATATCTGTCTCCCCTCCACCCTGCAAAAAGGCAAAAAAAAAACCCAACAGCTAAAAATAATCCACTATTAGAAAACCACATAATCACACTTTTAAATGAAATAACTTTGATGTCTAGATCCTACAAAACTGATAGTATGGAACATTTGAACTTAATTCATTAACATGTTGTCACAATTACTATATTTATTTTACTGTTACAGGAGATGGAGACAGAACTTAGTAGCTACTTACAAAGATTTTCTAACATTGCCAATAGTATGTTGAATTGTGGTACCATTCTAAATTGGTTTGAGGTGAGTTCAACATAGATTTACCAAAAAATTAAATTGAAGAAAAGTCTTTGGATAGATGTACATAAGGCAACAAGTTAATAAAAACCAGTTAAAATATGGTACAGTACCATATTCCTGAAAATGTTCACTACTGTTGCTATCTTCTTAACTTCTGGAAAGTTGATGATACAGAAATTTGAATTGGTTTGAGATTGGTTTAAAGATTGAAAAGTATTGTGTATTATGACCATTGGACTTTTTAGATACTGTTGATTCATAAATTTTTGTTTGCATATATTATTACAATTTTAGAATATCTGTAACGGTAAAAAATAGGGCGCTTATTTTTGCAAAACCTGTCCTGTCGCAATTTTCACAATAATAAAAACATTGCAAAAAATAATCTAAATTTAGAGTACTGGTATTAAATAAGATGCTATTGATCACCATAAGGCAATGAAATAGTCAAGATTATCTGTTTCTATCGAAAAATATTTAATGTCGATGAATTTTAATTTTATGTAATTTTGTGTTGATAGTTGGATAACCGTGGTAACAGACTTCTTGCTATAGATGACTCTGGAATAAATACTCCAGCAATAGCTGCAGCACATGCTGTGAAGAGATATACTGCTCAGGCTGTTGATGAAATCTCTCTAGAGGTAAATTTTTCATTTATACTAAAATTGATAATATGGTCACTAAAAGGACCAACAACTCTCTTGACCAATCTTATTAGTTAAAGTACTAGTCATGAACATTTTAAAATAACTTACAATCAATATTTATTGTAGGAATTTTTTATGAAAAAAAGTTGTAGGATTTATAAATTTAGATGAGCCCTGAATAGCTTACGGGACTAAGTAGTTCATCTACAATGATAATGCATAAAACTAAATGTTGAAATGTAAACTAGCCAACCACATTGAGGCAGTCAAATTTAGATTTCTTACAAGTTATTAAAACATGTGAAAGTATTGACACCCTTCAACACTGGTTAGCTGTAAATTAGAAAAATATGTACTCAATCAGATGTAGACTATATTTATGTATATCTTGCAGATAAAACTTTTGAAAACTAATAAAAGTTCTATTAAATTTTTCTCCTGTGTTTAGGTTGGAGATATAGTATCTGTGATAGATATGCCTGCTGCTGAGGATACAATATGGTGGAGAGGAAAACGGGGATTTGAGGTAAAATTTAATATTTTATCTTTGTTGTCTATTGAATTTATAATTTTTGTATGAATAAATGAGAAATTTTTTGAGCACTATTGTATCATAAATATGAATAAAAACAATGTGTGGGATAAACAATGAGACAGAAACCCAACAAAGGAAAAAATTAATATAAATATTTATAGGTCACAATATGATCATATGCTCATACCATCACTTTGAGTTGTTTACAGGAGGTCATTACAATCACTAAGACATTACCAACTCGCATACTTTCTACATAGCCTTAAAAAAAATGTAAAATTTATTAAAGTTCAAAGTATGTTAAAAGAAAGTGGTATAAATGATAAATCAGTTAATTACACATTTATACTCCTTTCCAGGTCGGATTTTTTCCGAGTGAATGTGTTGAGTTGATTGGAGACAAAGTTCCGTCATCAGTAGAGAACAGAATTCCACTCAATAGTAGGCGACCCTGTATGCATGGTTTGATAACTAACATATTAATGCCTTCTTGTGTGTTGAATTGAGTCTGAACTAAACTCTGTGTTCCTAAAATATTAAGATATATTATTGTATACAATGCTCTTGTTTCTATGATTTTCATATGTGAGTAGGTTGAGCTATCTGCAAGTGAAGTACAAAGAGTTATATTATACTTTGAAGGGGGAAGGGACTTTTCTGTATGTCAGTTATTTCTTGTCTCTCTATGCATAATATTGAGACCTTTAGAAGATATATTTAACTTATTATTTCAAAAATAATTAGTTTTATATTAAGAACAAGTATGAAAAGTAAAGTCAATCATCACAGCATTATTTTTACTTTGCCTAATTTGAATTTTGTGAAAAGTTACAATTTTGATTTTTCATGTAAAAAGAAAATATGAACAAAAGGAGATATTGGGTATATGTCAATGAAGGTCAATTAAGGGCAATGTTCAAAATAAGTTTGAGTTAAATTGATATTCCTGAATGTGACATTTTTAAATAGTTTAATTGGAAATATTGGCATCTGTATAATTTACATTAATATTCCAGCTGTTGTATTTAACTAATGTGCACGCTATAAGTTACTGATGTATTTTGGTGCATCCTATGATTGATTGTTTATTAAATCTGTATGACTTTATTGATTACTTGTGAATCATGATATTTTGATGTATCAGTATGACTAACTGCATCCAACAAACTGTATAAATAACATCTTTTTGATTTGTTCAAACTATTCTGAGGTCATGTTCAATTTTAGTTGATTAGTTTTTGCATGAAATATTTAATAAATTAAATACTTCTAAAAAGAGTAGTCAATATATAGATATTAGTAATAGCTTGAGTAACATGTTTACATGACTGCAACAAGCATGGGTCCCATTAAATTATTTTAGTAATAGTTAATTAGAAAAATTAGGCAGTAGTCACCTACCTTATTGGTGAAGAGATCATGTCTTACAGGAGGGGTATATGCTTTGAAGTACTATTACAAAGATTTTACTCTACATTGAATCACATTATGTCAAGTTATATTGGTAATTAACATGTATTTGAATAAGGGCAGAGGGAAATACCATGCTTTTACATTTTGTGTTTATCATATGCCTCATAAATCCTGTATAAAATTGAATATTTAGATCATCAAATAACTAAGGTTTTTGTAGATTAAAGTATAAGGATTTCTTACTGACTATTTATGTTGTTATATTGCAGTGGTAAGAAAGCATGGAAAGTTCTTGTCCTTCCTTCGAATGTTCTTCACTACGAGACCAGCCAGGAACCAGTTGAAACAAACAGGGATTGTAAAGGAACGGGTATTTGGTTGTGATCTAGGAGAACATTTGCTGAACTCTGGACATGATGGTAAATTAAGTACCGATATTATATTTGGTTAAAAAAAAAATTTATGTTCAATAATTGCTTACCTCAACTGAGCAGGACCTTTTCCCACGCTTATGTGGAAAAGAAAGAATATGGTGTATTAATTCTTGACACAAAATCCTTTTGAGCAAATGGTGACATAAATTACCAACAATGTCGCCCTAAAATGCAGACACAATACAAACTTTAAGAAAAACAATAGGGCTTATCAAGATACACATTAGATAACTTGGCAGGAAAGAGTATGAAAAGGGCAAATAATTTTATGGACTGCATGCTATTTTGATAAACAAACTGGTCTAAAGAGAAAAATGTTGTAATTAAACAATTAAAGTTTGTCTTCTATTAAAAAATCTCTGTTGATATGAATAGAATATGTAGTAAAAAACTTCCATTAATATATTTCTATGTCAATATCCTGGCTGATTCTGGACAAGAGTTTGATTTTATGTAAATCATATTGTGAAGAATGATTTTAAAGCAATTGACTGAGCTTTTATATTTATTGAATAACATGGTAATCATATACTATTTATTTTAGTGCCTTTAGTATTAAAGAGTTGTTCAGAAGTTATAGAAGAGCATGGTATAGTAGATGGTATATACAGACTCTCTGGTATCACATCTAATATACAGAAACTGAGGTAAGTCATAGAAGAGCATGGTATAGTAGATGGTATATACAGACTCTCTGGTATCACATCTAATATACAGAAACTTAGGTAAGTCATAGAAGAGCATGGTATAGTAGATGGTATATACAGACTCTCTGGTATCACATCTAATATACAGAAACTGAGGTAAGTCATAGAAGAGCATGGTATAGTAGATGGTATATACAGACTCTCTGGTATCACATCTAATATACAGAAACTGAGGTAAGTCATAGAAGAGCATGGTATAGTAGATGGTATATACAGACTCTCTGGTATCACATCTAATATACAGAAACTTAGGTAACATTTGTGATTGATTGTTAGTTAACTAATGAAAGCATAGAGGCCAAATTATCAGACATTCATATGGAAAACTTTGATAGAGGTGATATTCCTATTTAAAATGAAAATATGGCATATAGACAGAAAATTATTTTGTATGTAGACTGAGGTTATTGATAAGTTTAGTAGATTTCATTACTGTCAGTCATTTTATCAATTTTTATTTCAGCTTTTTATCCTTTCTTACTTTATCAAATTACAGTTTCTCTATGATCATAAAGATATTTGAAAATTGCAAGATTTCAGGAATAGCCAGTTATTAAAGTTAGGAGATCTATGAAAAAATATCATAAACATAATATACATTTACATATAGGTAAAACAATGATAAAACAGATTTTTTTTCCATCTTAAGAAGCAGAAAATTTTCAGCAGTCCTCAATTTCTGATTCTATTTTTCAGACTAGCATTTGATGAAGATAGAGTTCCAGATTTAAGGGCAGATATTTATTTACAAGATATACACAGTATTAGTTCGTTACTTAAGATGTATTTTCGAGAATTGCCAAATCCTTTGTTAACCTATCAGCTTTATGATAAATTTGCAGTAAGTATCTCCAAACAATTTATGTTAACATAATTTAATACATATGAATACAGAAAAAATTTCTAGGGATATAAAGTATTACACTATACTAAGCAAAAAAAATTAAAATGATTGAATATCATGTATACTGTTCTAGAAATTTTTGTAGTTTTGAAGGTATCAAATTTTAAAATGAACTTGTGCAACAAAGCAGATCTCGTTCAGCTATAAACTTTTGATGTCTTCCAAGTTGAATTTCTGGGAGATTGTGATATTTTCTCTGTGGTGTTCTTAAAATTTTGTTTGCTTAGATATGCAAAAACAATGCTACACCAGTAAACCAAACTTAAATAGCAAGCACAAATCAACCCATTGAATGTGTTAATGGCTCAAAAAGGAATATATTGAAGTAAAAATATATATAAAAAACTAAAAGTAGATTGTTTAGTTTCTAACGTAAAGCATAACATCAGAAAAAACACCATATTAAAACAAGACTTCAAATAACTGTTTCATTCAGTTTTTACCTTGAACATGTTGTTCTTGAAACATGCTTTCCTTCCCTAAGTTCTTGTGCAGTGATATTCAAGTGATAACATCATTTAATTCTTTTTTATTTTAGGAAGCAGTTAGAGATGAAGATAATAAGTTATGGAAGATCCATGATGTTGTACAACAGTTACCTCCCCCTCATTACAGGTATTATTTTGACGAGATTCTACATAGGTCATTGAAAGAATAACAAAATGTCCATCAAAATTAATGTTGTACAACAGTTACCTCCCCCTCATAACAGGTATTATTTGGACGAGTTTCTGCATAGGTCATTGAAACAATAACAAAATGTCCATCAAAATTAATGTGGTACAACAGTTACCTCCCCCTCATAACAGGTATTATTTTGACGAGTTTCTGCATAGGTCATTGAAACAATAACAAAATGTCCATCAAAATGAAAGTCGTTCAACAGTTACCTCCCCCTCATAACAGGTATTATTTGACGAGTTTCTGTATATGTCATTGAAACAATAACAAAATGTCCATCAAAATTGATAGCAAATATCATTGATTACGATATTTGTTCTTGAATCTTATGTAGATTCTATTGTAATTTTAAGATTTTTATGCCCCCGCCGTAGTGGAGGGGGCATTAAGTTTTACCCTTGTCCGTCTGTTAGTCCGTACGTCCAAAAATTGGTTCTCTAACTTTAGTTTGCCTCAACCAAATGTTATGAAACTTATACACAATGCTTGTTAACACAAAACACAGGTCAAGTTTGAATTTGGGTGGCGTCACTTATGCCGTTCTAGAGTTATGCCCCTTTACAAATGGAAAAATTGCTGAATTTTTTGTTTCCGTTTTCTAACTTAAGTTTGCCTCAACCAAATGTTATGAAACTTATACACAATACTTATTACCACAAAACTCAGATCAAGTACAAATTTGGGAAGCGTCACTTTTACGGTTCTTGAGTTATGTCTCTTTATAACGTTATATGCAAGCAGGGGCATCATCTGTGTCCCATTGACACATTCCCCATTTATTTGTAATACATTCTTTATATCTTCTATAACAAGACAGATATTTCGAAAACAATGCTAATTTTTTTGTATTCATATTACATTCCAAAACTGTTATAACTGTACTGAGTTTTTAAGCCGTCGATTAGGATAACTGGCAGAAAATATTAATGTATTGCATTTTTTTCTCAAGTAAAGCAATAACAGTAATATCATGTTTATTTATATGAAATGCATACATATGTATATCACTGATACACTCGATAAAATGGTTTCATTTCACACTTTATATATTATTCCAGCAGGGTTTCCCCTGGGTCAATTATTTTTTTCGCCACCTCTTTCGCCAAATCAATATATTTTTGGCCACTTTATATTTTTTTCGCCAAGTAACATTAATATATTTTTCGTTTAAAATTTTCCATCTTTCTATCCCCCCTCCTCCCCCCCCCCCCCAAAAAAAAAAAAGAATAATAAAATGAGTCTCTTAAACTTATCTTTTAGTCTACATTGTAATGAATAAACACTAAACATTTACTTTTTAAAAGATACTGTAAAAATAGCAATATAGAAATCATCATTTTGACCTCTGGGAACACAAGATTCATCTTCAATTAGTTAATCGGATATATGATATATAGTTCCCTTCCTGTTGAAGGATAAAGACTACAGGCAGAGATTTTTCTTACTTTTGAACAAGTTTGGAACAACCCCCCAAATGTGAGATAACCTTAAATGAGGGACTGCCCCTCAGAAAAAGGGTCATTTTGCTGTTGTGGAAAGGTATTGAGGGGTTATTCCCAACCTGTTGAATATATTTCTTCATAACGACAGTTTTCTTTTCTGGACCATCGTCAATAAAAAACTATGCTTGAAACACAAGTAAATTATCTATATCAAAGTTGAAGGATAAAGTTTTAAAATAAAAGTCGGAGAATTTTCTTGCTTTCAACATTTTTCATCAGTTTTCCTTTCCGGACCATCGTTAAAAAAGGAAAGGAGATGTCAAAAGTTTGAATCATACACGTGCGTCTCAAGTTGTTTATAAATCCTTTATGTGACATGTGATGGACGCCATTTAACCATATCATTTAATATTTTTGTCAAACAATACAATCAACACCTTTATTAATTAATCCTTTGTTGCCTACAGCTATAAAATGCAATCAGCTGATTATTGATTTTCTGTCAAAATCTTAACAAGTTCAAGGTGACTTCCGAGTATTGTCTGATCAGGCAAAGGCCGAGAAACCCGAAAAAAATAAATAAACAAGATGGATGAAATAAAATCGTTATATATATTTCTTTCGCCAAATTCTTTCGCAAATGATGAATTTTAATCGCCACAATTATTATTTTTTTCGCAAAATGCGAAATTGGCGACCGCCAGCGGAAACCCTGTATTCCAGTAAATTTTAGACTTGAGAATGGAAACGGGGAATGTGTCAAAGAGACAACAACTGTCCAAAGAGCAGAAAACAGAATGCATATTACATTTTTTAATAGCCTATCTGTGTCGCTATAAAAATTATTGATTAATGATACTTTTGCGTTTATCAAGTCTATAAAAAAAAACACATGAAAATCAGGAATCTTATCACAAATCCTTTGTCCCAGAAACAGAAACAGAAATATTCTTGGCATGTAAACAGTAATGATTTCAAGTTAATGTGAAATACTAACCACATATCTATTATTTTTTCAGAACTTTGGAGTATTTAATGAGACATTTAGCAAAAGTTTCCACAAATGGAAATGACACTGGCATGCATTCCAAAAATTTAGCCATAGTATGGGCACCTAATCTTCTCAGGTAATTATTTATTTAATCAGAATAGTCAACAGATATAAAAAACCAACAGTAAATGAGTTTTAAAGCAGTGATTCCAAAGGTTCTGATATTGCTCAAGTTAGTATTCAGCCTATACAGGACCAAGCATTTTTTACTGGACAATTGATAGATAAAATGATTTTAAAACATGATATTTTGGTCCGTATGTAACTTCATTTCATTTCACTGGACAGAACCAAATTTAACTAGACTTTTGCCAATGTCTGACAGACCTTTTGAATGATTTTTATTCAGTGAAAATTGAAATCACCGTTATAACAATTAATTCTTTATGAAATTATTAGGTTGTTGTGAATTTTGATAATGTTAAGGAATATAATGAATTTTCAAAAGGATGATTTTCTTACACATGTAATGAGTTTTGTCTATTATCCTACCTCATCAGTGTGAGATATATGTGGCTTTCATATTTGTTTACAAAGGTAACAATGCTTGAAAATTATATTTTGCACTGATCTGTAAAGTTTTATACTTTTAATGAAAATAACAGAAAGACGTGAAATACTATCTGATTTAAAATATATTTACTGGGGACTGAAAGTAACATATCATGTTGATATATGCTATTGTTGTTGATTTTGTATCATTTGATTAAACAGGTCTAAAGAACTGGAATCAGGTGGAGGGGCAGCAGCTTTACAAGGTGTGGGGATCCAGGCCGTTGTTACAGAATGTCTCATTGTTTATGCTGATCTCATATTTAGTGATAAATTGCCATCTTATAGTTCTCCAGAGTTTACACGTAAATATCTCTTACATAACACATAAATTCTATAGCAAGTAGAATAAAGACTGGTATTATATACAGACAGTTTGCATATATTTTGTATGTTTTAAACTGCAATTTTTCATATGTAATTTATTTTTAGAATGATGTCTGAAGATGACTTTTTTTTTAAATCAAATGAAAATTTGAAGAGGAATACATTTTAAAAACCCAATGAATATATAATCAGAAACAAAATTTTACACATAATATTAACTGTTGGAATAAAGTTGCTTGCAAAAATAAGAACTGAGTATTTGACAAAAATACATTGATTAATGATAAGAATAGTATAAGTTAAGTAGATATACATACCCGTAACCAGTTTAAAAAGTAAGTTTCTCTTTCAGAGTCTCGAAAAAAACCAAGACCAAAGTCATTAGCCATTTCTACACCAACAAAACTTATTACATTAGAGGAAGCAAGGGAGAGAGCTTTGTCTGCAAGTCTCCGTCCTGCGCCACACAAGTATATAAATGTAGGCGGTGGTCCAGAAAAACTTCCATCGAAGTATCACACAGTTATAGACCTTCCTGGATACAAGTAAGACTAACTGATTAAAGGGTTGATCAATGTTTATTTGCTTGATGTCCATTGGCAGTTATGTCAATGTGTTTAAAGTTGATTAAATAGATTATTGTGCAGTCAAATCCTTTATGTATAGATGTTGATACATCTAAAAGATCATATTTGTAGAATAGAAAACAATCTGTTTCTGATGAACAAAATGTAAAAATTACCTTTTCTCACATTTTTAATACTTAGTCTACTAGATATGGACTGATAAGGATTTATTATGAAAATTAATAAAGCAAGATCTGCAATATACAGTATGACAACAACCCAACAGTACCATAAATCTAAAAATGCCTTTTTAAGGTCAAAGTTTTACAGTTTTTGACCTAACAATGACTTTTAATTTGTGTGTGGTGTTAAGTTAGGCTAAATTTGAAAATCTGGTGATTTTTTAAACACTGCTTAAGCAATAATCTTAGAATTTTGAATGCTGTGCTGAGATACTGTTTATAAATGCTATATATTATTATTGTTTTCTTTCAAATTCCTCTTATAATTCTTGATCATTACATAAAAATCACAAATCAACATTATTCTCATGTAAATCAGATGTTTACAATGTTACTAATGGTGCTCCATACATCAAAACCATAACTTCTTTTCATATGAAATATAATGATGGCATCACTGGTATGTGTTCTATGCAAAAATTAGTTTACTGTATTTATACGTAAAAGATTTGGCAAAAATAAGAGAAAAAACTAATCTAAAATTTTTGTATTTCAGGAAAAGAATGCCTCTTAGAGACAATACTACTTCAAACTTGAAGGGTAAAAAGTCACCAGGGAGTTGGCGGTCCATTTTCACAAGATCATCAGGGAGAGGAAGTATCAAACAAAAAGGAGGTAAAGGTAATACATAAACTGGGTTCCTAGTTCACTGTGCAAAAGTGGAACCAGATCACAATTCTTCTTGTACATTTCTTGCTGTTAGGAACATGGAACTGTGAAATGGAATTGTTTTCTCAAAAATTTGATATCAGTTTAAACAAAAATACAAATGAACAACTTATTTACTACTTGTAAAAATTGAATAGTATTCAATTGATTCATCTACATAATAGATTGTTTTTGGTCACTTTATCGTTTGTTTAAATGATTCTGATTCTTGGTCAGTATTTGATATGTTTGTTTATCACTTTGGCTGAGTTGCATTAGAAATCTAACTCAGGATCCAAGGTCAGACATAGAATATTGCCTACTTGTTCAGCAAAATATTGATGAAACTTCATTCAGTTTATTGTTTAAAATGAAAATAGCTTAAATATTGCACTTCAAACATGAACAAGTCTTCATCTACAACATTATCAAATAAAACAGATAGTTTTGATCTGAGTATATATATGATGTGTTATTAAAAAAAACATTTAATGAAATACATTTAACCTGGCTGAAAATACAAATAATAAAAACATAAGAGTTACATTTTACAGTATTATGAACACAAATATTTTGTTTAGCATTGATATTTTCATTCACTGAAAAATGATAATATATTTGCTGATATGAATATTATCAAATTATTTTACTTTTTTAGAAGATGTATTAATGGACCTGGAAAGGAAAGCCATCACTGAGGAAGATGTCCATAACTGGAAGCGAAGACGATTACGTGTAGCTAAAAGTGCTGAGTCTCTGATCAATCTACCAAACAGAGATCATAGACTTTCACGTCACTTTGATGATTTTCCTAGAATTAATTCTTGTTCAGGTAAACTCTTGATAATCTGGTTAATGAACACAATATTTTATGATGAATTTAAAATTAATTGGTTGTTTGGTTGATTGATTGATGGATTGATTTGGTCAAAATAGAATTTCAGTGAGTGATCTAAATGTATTCATCCCAAAAAAAAGTCAGTGAGTAATCTTTATGGCAGAAATGTCAATGTGATTGTATATATATATATATAGGCCAAAAAAAATGTTCTTGAGTGATTGATTAGGCCAAAATAGAATATCAGCGTGGGATTTGTTTTTCCAAATAGAATGTTGGTAATTTGGCCAAAATAGAATTTCAGTGAGTGATCCAAATGAATATGCCTAAAAAAAAAAATCAGTGAGTAATCTTTATGGCCGAAATGTCAATGTGATTGTATAGGCCAAAAAAAATGTTCTTGAGTGATTGATTAGGCCAAAATAGAATTTCAGCGTGGGATTTGTTTTTCCAAATAGAATGTTGGTAATTTGGCCAAAATAGAATTTCAGTGAGTGATCCAAATGAATACGCCCCAAAAAAAAAATCAGTGAGTAATCTTTATGGCCGAAATGTCAATGTGATTTTATAGGCCAAAAAAGAATGTTTGTGAGTGATTGATTAGGTCAAAAAAGAATGTCAATGTGGGATTTTTTGGCCAAATATTTGGCAAAAATAGAAAGTTGGTAATTTAGCCAAAAATAGAAAGTCAGTAAGAAATTTTTGGGCTGAATAGAATGTCAGCAAGTGATTTATTTGGTCAAAATAGAACGTCAGGTAATTTTTTATGATACCAAGTCTTTTAAATGTCTGATAGTCAGATATTTGAATTAACATGTAATTTTTAATTTTCCAGATGAAGAAATGTCTCCAAGGACCAAACACAAAAGATCTGCTTCCACAGAGTCACCTAGATGTTTAATGAATGATGAATATCCTAGCTTTATAGAACCTGGATCAAGAGAAGTCCCAATTGATGTAGAAATGATTGATGGTAATTATATGTGTTCTTGATTACTAAATGGACAGGTTGTAATTTGTGTGAACTAAACAAATGTCTTATTTTGACATACATTTCAATCCAGTTTAGACAAGTTGCAGTGTATCACATTGATTATATTCTCAGTTCATCAGTGTTCCTGTGACTCTTCTTCACAAAATATCATTCAAAAATGTATTGTGAAAAGAGCCACTGGTCAGATGAAAATCTGTTGTAAACACCTTATAATACTTAATTACTCTCTAACAGATATTCATGAATGTAACCTAAATAAATTTATCTGAATAAAAAAAAAACATCTTGATGTCTGGGGTGTAACAAAATTGTAAAAAGAAACTGAAAATATGATTTTTTTTTATTATTATTATACCCTTGATGGCATTTTATATTTGGTATAAATTTGAAGGTAAAATTTATAGTTTATTGAAGAAAAATATGTTTTGTTTCCATAATTATGCTGAGGATTAAAATAGAGTGCTTTTTAGCACAGGTTTGGAAAAAGAAAATACTTCCATGATGTGTATTGTTTCCAAAATTAAATGGGTCACAAAGTTCATTTTGTCCCTATTTTGATGCTACCAATGTGGAGGAAAAACCACTAGAGACAAAGAATTAGGGGAATTCAAGAAAAAAGAAAGTTTTTTAAATTGAAAAAAATATGTGTGATGTTCATTAACTTTACATTCTGACAAATGTACAATACTTATATTATCAGTTATATTTGATTTGATGAACTCCAACAGAGATGCTTTGATGCAAACTATTAACTATAAAAATGTGTTTTTGTACTTTAGATTCAAGTTCATCAATTGATAGTGGTATGGAGGCTAGAAAAGAACGGAAAACAGAAAGGAAACAATCATTTGTACGAGGAGAGGAAAAAAGAAAACCAACTCACCGTAGAACTCCATCAGGATCTTCTACACCAAGAAAAGAAAGAGAAATGCCACCACCCAAGGAAAAAAAGGTGGTAACGAAACCTATTGCCCAAAGTGAAAAATTACGTCGAAAAAATGAAAGTAATTTTGAAAAGGAAAATCGTGAGAAATTAGTGCAAAAAGTGGCAAAAAGTTTAAAAAATGAAGAAACAAAAGTGATTGGATCACGAAGTAGATTGGAATCAATAGGAGACAAAGAAAAGTTTGTCCTTCATGTTGAAGATGCAACTGTTTTTAATTCAACAAGTCCAAAAAGTTCAGACAATAAGCAGCGTTCTTCTGAGGAAAGGAAACTTCCGTTATCCCCTAGTGCGGAAAAACTTAAAGAAACAGCATCATCTAAAGTTAAACATTCGACAAAGCATGAAAAAGGGGGAAATAAAAAAGATATTCAGTCTATAGGTAATCTTCCAGAAAGTCCTGGAGCCAAACGTAAAAATTGGATGAACACTTCACCTGCCACATCACCTGATGAATCACCATCAGGATTTTATTCACCACACAAATCTGATTTTTCTGAATTGCTTTCAGATGATGAGAAATCAAAACATGCCAAAGAGTCACTGCCAAAGTTTCCCAATCTTCAGGACAATTTGAATGACACAGGACATACACGGTCAGATGTTTCTCCTGGTGGTTATGATAATCTAGATTCACCATTTTCTTCATCGGATTTTCAACATTTTGAGTCAAGGACCACATCAACATCCAAATCTGTAGTTTATAAGCAGCAATCTTATGAGGAGGAGGAGTATGATAATATTCATCCCCAGCCAAATTCTGTATCACCGCCATTCTCATCCAAAATGTCAAAATGTCTCAGTGTACCGTCAGACATTCAAAAATCTCTAGAAAATTTGACTTCAGGAAGTCAGACTGATTTATTATCATCAGTGACAATAAGTGAACTGTCAACATCAGTGGAAAGCTTCAGTGTAAGTCAAAGTGATGATACAGCTAAAGTGCAAAAGAAAGGTCGTAGAAGTGCTTCATTGGACAGTTTAAATGATACTGAATCCCCTTTGACACGAACGTTGAAGGAAATAAATGCTCAGATTGATAAAGCTTTTAAAAATGAATCTGACAAAGGAAAATTGAAAAAAGAAAATGTAGAACAAGGATCAATGAATGAAACATTTGATTTCTCTTCAAGTTCTGTCGATACAATTAAACGTCAGTCTAGTAGTAGTGATAATCTTGAATCTCATGTCTACACAGATAGACCTGGAGCAGAAATTCAGGTTGTTGAAACACCACAGCTAGTCAGAAAGGCTGTAAGACCAACACATATTGCACAAACAAAACTTGAAACTAATATTGATGGTGACTTATTAATTGAACATTCTAAAGAAGCATCAATTGGTATTCATCAAACAAGGACAGAAGCTTCAGAAAAGGTCCACTTTGGCCTATCTGAAGAAGATATGATTAATTTTGAAAGTTACAAAGCTGAAACTGGACATAAAATAGACATGTCTGAAGAGGATTTTGAATTTTTCACTAAACAGGCACGATCTAATCAATCTTCAAAACGTCACTCGACTGCCTCTAGTTTAGCTAGTCCAATGTCTGATATCAGTCCAAGTGAATATCGCCGGAAGATTGTAAGTCCATTGAGTGAAAGGACATCAAGATGGAAAAATACTGATAGGTCAGATGGCGAACATACAACACCTACTAACAGTCCTCCTATTGCTCAGAGACTTATAAATGTTCGGAGTCCTTCTCAAGAAAATGTCCAATATAGTCCCCACAGTCCATCAGCAATGCACAGACTAAATAAGATTTGTAGTCCTTTACAGGACGAAGTTTCTCATGGTAGTCCATCCATTTCTCATCGACAAAGCAAAGTAAGAACCCCATCACAGGAAGAACTTTATCATGGAAGTCCTATCACAAACAGACCAAGTAAAATACGCACCCCATCCCAAGAGGACTTATCTTATGCTAGTCCAATAGCACACAGACCAAATAAAATCAGAACCACACAAGACCCTACCAGTCCTTCATCAAGGAGATTTGTTCAAAATCCTATTTACACAGGACCTGCAAACACATCCCCAAAGAGTCCACCAGCTAAGCTTTTATTAAAAGATAATTTCTCTGATACCCAAAGACTAGAAACTGCAATTGATGAGACGTTATTTCAGAATGGGCATTCAGAAGGGAAAGAATCAGCAGAAAGAAATTTTGAAAAGTTATTATTTCAAACAAGTCAGATGGTTGATGGTGAAAATGCTGTAGTTCAAAGTCCAAGGTCACCTAGGCAGCAACCAAGATGGGAAGATTTAGCAGGATTGAATCAAGATTTTGTGTCTGTTCTTAAAAAAGATGGTCAGTCTCCAAAATCTCAAAAAATAGCAAGAATGCCTCCTCATGCAGCTCATCAGCATAGTATTGAAAGTCCTGATGAAGTGCCATTTGATAAAAAGTTGCAGGATTTGTCAAATTTTAATGAACAATGGAGAACTCAGCTAGCTCCCACAGGAGATGTTTGTCGGTTAGGTAGCCATGGAGAGAAATTGAATGAAATACAAAATTTAGAAACAAAAATTGAAATGGAAAGACCTTCTATTCAAAAATTGACAGAAAGAATAAATAAAAATTATGGATTTGAAGGTGAAAGAACACTAAGAAGGTCTTCAACTATAGCAGCAATGGAACGTCTTGAGGAATTTGAACCAAGAGTTCGACAACGAACTCCTGAATGTAGTACTGATCAACAGACTTTGACATTGGAGAAGCCAATGATAAAACGTTGTCAGACTGAATCAAATATACCACAGATTAAACACTGCACTGTCGTCACTCAAGACACTTCCAGCAATACATCTTCAAGTACTAATTCTGAACCAAGAAACATTGAATATGAACCAACTGACTTTGGTAAAGTGCTACGAACTAATTTTACTGACAAATCAAAAAGTGCTATAGACAAAAAAAGTGTTGCACAATCTGTAACAGGGGGAGTAACTCTTCCTCCTTCCTACCCTGTAATGGCAAGTAGCCAGACTAGTCATATAGGAGGTAAAATGGATGTACCTGCTCCTATGGAGACTGCTATTGATGGACCATACTTGAATGACCAGCAGATCATGGCAGAAGTCATGCCCTTTAATTCTGTGATAGATGACATTGATTTTAATGAAAGTTGTTTTGGCATTCCAACACACCAAAATTTGTCCAATGAGATGAGAGAGAAAATTCAGGAAAGATTAAAAGCAGAGCGTGAACAAAATAGTGGAAACATTCCAGAAACTTTCGAAACAATGCAAGATCCTTTTAGCAATACAAGAAGTCCTCCACAAAATGTCCACTTAATGGAAATAGAAACCCATTTCTCTGCTGATCCATATCAGTATCCAGTGGCAACAGTACATTTTCTGTCACAAGGTCCAATCATTCATGCTTCACCTCAGGTCATTCAAAAACTGGATAATTCTGAGGAAGCTGCTCAGAATGCCATAAATGCAGATTTAGAATTAAGCATGTCTCTCAAAAAAAATCCTGACAATCTACCGAGCCAAGGTCCAGGAATATTGGAAGCAGAAGTGGTGGGCGTGTCTCATCAGTTAGTTGCACCTCAACAGGAAACCAGCCGAAATACAGGGTTAGAAAACATGAGACTAGTGTCTCCATCTAGTGTACAAATGGAAATGAAAAAAGAAAAATCTGACTTACCAGAACTTGCTCCTCCTAGTCCAGAATATATAGAAGAATACAGAGATGTGGTCGTCAAACGTAAACTACCACTTCATCCAAAAACAAATAGTCCACCTACAGCTATTCCAAAATCATTCTCAAAACCACCATTACACAAATCCTACAGTGTTGATTATTATAAAACTGAGTGTGTGGTGATGGACTCTTGTGATGAAGACACAAGTGATGATGTTTTCGTTGATCACAATAAGATTAAAAGTAAATCTGATATTAAGGTTACAGTGCAGCATAATGTTAAACATCAAGACCCACATGAATTACAGAATATGCCATTGACATTCTTATCAGAGACTCCTAGTCGATCATCATTGGACGAATCTGCATTAGAAATGGCATCATCACGGCATGAGGATTTTCTTCCTGAAGAGGAAGATGACCAGTTTACTCAGTCACATCAATCCACAAAACTTCAGAGTTTGAAAGAAAAAATTGAAAATGACAATGCCAGTAGCAGTTCTGAAGTTACTAATTCAAATGTGTGTTTTAGACATGAAAATTATAACAGCGAAAGAATAAAACAGGCTAAATTTGGATTTACAAGTCAGAGGTCATATTCACAAACAGAGCAATACTCCAGTGATCTTTCTGATTCTGGTAATAATTCATTTTCTAGTCGTGTTTCTGGACAATTGTGGCAAATGCCAGGAAGTCGAAGAAGCATTTCCACTGATTTAGGATATGAGTTTCGTCCAAAGAAAATAGAAAAAGTAACAATAGGAATTACAAACTTTGGTAAGCCACCTAAACATCGCGGAAGCACCCGTGGGAGGGCTTCAAGCGAATCAGCAATGTCAGAAGCTGAAATGACAATAAGATTTAGTAGTGCTAGAACTTCTCCGAAAACGGTTGTGGATGGTTCACCGAAATCATTAAGAAATTCCCCTAAAGTGTTACGACCTGATGAATTTTCAAGAGGCAATAGATCTCCACAGAGCCAAAGAAATGTTGACGTATCTCTGAGATTTGTAAGACAGAAGTCAGAGGCAGGATCTCCAAAGAGTGTCAGACACGTTAGCTTTAGTGAAAATAGTGAAACAACACATGTTACTGTTACTTCCCCAACAATTGCTCAAAGTGAAACTGTTATCACTAGTGAATCACAAAATAGAATGAGTCAATCTTTAACGTTACCTATAAATGGCTCTGAAAATACAAGTTCACGGAAAGTCGAAAGAAGAGGAAGTATTAAAGAATTGATGCAATTTTTTGAAGAAAAAACTAGTAAAACAGAAGAAATGCAAGAAGAGCTTCTTGCAACTTCTCAATTAAGACATTGTCCCAGAGTGAGAAGTGAATCCCCAAATTATTGTCAAACAGAATCTCGTAGAAATGAAACATTTAGACATAGTTTAGAGATTCCTTCATCTAGTTCACATTTAGAAGGTCTGGTTAGACCACATCCAGTTAGACTTGGTCCAAAACCATTCTATGGTGCTAAGCAATGATGTTTATTTTTCATTAGCTCTCATTATTTTCTTTGATTGTCACTTTGTTATCATAGCAACTGACATCTAGTCAATTGACATCATTTTATTAATTCCAGTTTTTTTTTTTTCTTTTTTAAGACTTTTTAATTTTCTTTTTCTTTATTAAACTCTTCTACAGGAATGGCATTTATTTTACAGCTACTAATTATTCCTGCCAAAAAATATTTTGACTTTTTTTACTGTATTTTTACATACTATTTGATATATTAACTCCCTTAAATATTGATGATACAACTGTAGTTCAGTTTTGTGAAAAAGTTATTGAAAGACAACCTGTATAAAAAGTATGATCTTGAAAAGATATTTGATAATGACAATTTGAAATTATGTTTGATATTTTTTTACTTAAAAATAGATTTCATGGATTGTATATGTTATTCCAAAGATAGACAAACTATATAATGTTATAATGACCTCTGGGTAAAGTAACTTTTTGAAATCAGCAAATTACATTAGTTCTAGATATTATTCCATAGACAAGTTGTTATGGTGTTAGAATTAAGTTAATTCAATCAGTTATAGCCATCACAAACGTTAGTGCTTTAAGGCATCATTTATTTTTATACATACACAGTTGTTACTGTTATTTTATATGTGTGTGTGTGTGTTATATTTCTAGTCAACAGCTTGTTAAGTTAGTTTTCATATTGATGTGCCATTGATTTGTCATAACTAATTAACATTGAAAACATACATAACATTAATGTATATATTGTCAAAGTACATGTATATTATAAAATATTTATTTCAATATAAACAGGGTATATCAATACCTGTATTGTTCTGTGTCCTCCCACCTTTGTTGTCAACAATCGGTTTTAGCAGGTAGTATTTAAAAAAAAAGTAATCTCTGTTAATATTTACGAGAAAAAAAATCTTTATTTTAAAGAATTCCTTGTATAGACATGGTGATAAAATTCAATTATTTAAAAGCAAAAAAAAACAGGATATTCTTCCACATTAACCAAAAATATGTGTTACTTTCTGATTTTTACCAACTTTTTTATGTATTTTTCATAAGAAGGTCAAAATGATAGTCCTTTAGAATTTTCTATTGTCCAATGGCATTTAATTTATAAAGATAAAAATGTTTTTTAATTGTTCAGATAAAGTTATAAATAGAAAAGTAAGAAATCCTTCCCTATTCCAGATAAGTTGAAGACTTACAGTCATTTATAATTACTGCCATGCTTAATTTTTAGAATCTATGAGAGTAAGCTTAAGGGAGTTAACTAAGTAATTATTTGTTAAATTAAAAATAAGGTTTGTCTATGTAAGCCTGCTACTGTAGTAAAACTGTGTTGAAATGCACTTTCAGTTCCCCTAAAAATTGACTTTTTACAGTCTTTTTTAGTAATGAGCATATTAGCTTACATAGATTTGGTTAACACATACAAATAAATATACAATATTAGGTCAACGTCAGAAAATTATCAACTTTTTTGTATGAGGCTCATTAGGGGGAAAATAGGACTGATGCTAGGAATTTACCAACATAGTGCAGAAAGCTTTTTCTTATTACCCAACTAACATTAAAAACATTGTCTTATAAAATATTTTATAACATTTGAGCATGCTTTTTATTGTAAGAATGTCAGAAAATATTTATTTCAACAGCAAACCTTAGTAAACATGCTGGTTGGTAATTATTAGGATAAATGTAAGGTCATTTTTTTTAACAAATTGTATAACTCATATATGTAGAATTAAAGGCTTCCACTTTTTGCATTTTGCATCTAATAATTACTATAAGTGTGTTGAGAAATCTAAAATGACCTGGTACTAGAACTAAGGAAACTTTTTACACTGAAATTGACCTAAACTCACGAGCCATGAATGTTGGTAAGGAAATAGGTGAAAAATGATTATCCTCCCCAGTAGGTCTGAAGAGATTATGCAATAACTTAAAGGTTCATTCACTTTGAGAAGAGATAAATCTTGAATGTATGGAGCTTGTTAAATGATTTATTTTAATAATCACAAGAAACCTTGGAATTCCATACTGCCAATGAAATAAATATGCAAATTCCCTAATTTTCTAAAAAAAAAATTGTCCTATTTAATACTGTATTGCATTTTAAAATATTGAACATGACCATGAACTTAAAAAGAACTGTTGAATTTTAAGCTTGAAGTTTCATTCAACAAAATTTTCATCACAGTTACAAAATTCCTTTTTAAAGAATACTTTATTATTATTTGTAGTAAAACTACATGTAGTTTGGTCATGATGGTAAAGCATGCATTTCCATGACAATAAGAGTCAAATTTTTAAATATGTCATTTTCACATTGCTCAGATTTTCTTGTTATGATAGTAAGTAAAATGATAGAATTTTTTTTTAATCAAAACGGCTTATTCTACTTAAGTATGACAATAACAGTAATTAAATTTTAAATTTCACCTTACTGCCGATTCATTTATTTTGTGGAATCAATTTTCATGGATTGAGGAAAAAATGTATTTTCATGGATATTTGATTTCGTTGTTTTGTCAAAGTCCACATAATGACCTATGAAAAATAAATCCTTTGTTGAACATTCAGATACTGTAAATTCAGAAATTATTGCAAAATAATGCGACAGGGTTATAATCGCAATAATTTAAACTTGCATTTTGAAATTTTTTATATGAATTAAACAGGATTTTTCTCAATATCGCAAAAATTAAAATCGCATTTTAGTCTAAAATGACAAAATCGCAATAATAATTGCACGCAATAATTTCTGAATTTACAGTATGTTGTTGACATATTCTCAAGAAATAGATGAAAATTAGTATCCCAAGAATATTAATGAATCAACAGTAGTTCTAATAATGATTTTTGTTTCTCTGTTCTCGTGTTGTGTTGTTGTTAGACCAGTAAATGTTATGAATGTGCCAGTGATATGGAATCTTTCTGTGCAATATGTATCTTTGTACATTCTTTTATTTATAAGCAGTATGAAATTCATCTTAAAAATCATAATTACCGGTAGTTGTGATCATAGATGCAGTTTCTGTGACCAAAACCAATTATAATGTGATCATGTATGCAGTTTGTATGAATGTTGTGAATTTTTTTTAAATATTAACAGGTTTATTTAATTCAATCTCTTAGCTGATTAAAAGAAGTCTACTCAGTAAAACAGTTGCTAAAAACTTTTTATAATTACACTACAAAGGTCATTTATCCTTTTCAAGTGAATTTCTATTTGTAATTTAGTAAGAAATTTCTCTTGCAGGGATTACTTAATATTGTCCCGTCCGATTTTTGTTTGAGGGTTGCAGTTGTCTAGTTAACTTTTCGCTTTTTTCAGGAAAATAGTCTAAATGAAAATAGAATAGGTTTCTTATTTGAATTCTTCAAAATATTTCAAATAGTATAAAATTCAAGTTGAATATATGACTTGGTGATCTAGATATTATCCAATTTTTGTGATGCCACATTTTTTGTATCTGATAATGTAAAATTTACTTTAGAAGCTTTAGAGTTATCTCCCTTGTTTAATTTCAAGAGTATGTTATCTTTGTCCTATTGAATTTCTTTTACCAAATGTTTCTACAATTTCTCATTTCTATATTTCTGAAAATACTTTCGCCTAGTAATTGACAACTGCAACTTTCAAAAAGATTGTGATTTTGATAATATTTTTGAAATTCCTTCCAAACTGGTATGTAAGTAAGAATAACATTATCACAATGTAATCAATGATTTATAGCATAATATTTATTTCTGTCATATGTTTATAAAACATAATCATTGTTTTCTGTGAAGTAATACATCTCAGTAAACTTTGTACTAAAGTCATTTATGTCTTTTTCTTAGTTTTAGCCCACTGCACTATAACCAGACAACAATCAATGTCTGTAAATGCCTTTATAGCTGACAATACTGTATGGGTGTTACTCATTGTTGAAGGCCCTACAGTGACCTATTGTTGATTACATCCATATCATTTGGACTCTGATGGATAGTTGACTCAAAGGCAATTATAGCACTTCTCCTTATTATGCAACCGCTGTTGCGGAGGGGGCATTAAGTTTTACCCTTGTCCGTACGTCCCTCCGTACATCCCAAAATTGGTTTCTGTTCTCTTAACTTTAGTTTGCCTCAACCAAATGTTATGAAACTTATACACAATACTTATTACCACAAAACACAGATCAAGTTTGAATTTTGGTGGCGTCACTTTTATCGTTCTAGAGTTATGCCCCTTTACAAATTGAAAAAATCACTGAATTTTTCGTTTCCGTTCTCTAACTTTAGTTTGCCTCAAAAAAATGTTATGAATCTTATACACAATGCTTATTACTACAAAACACAGACCAAGTTTGAATTTTGGTGGCATCACTTTTACTGTTCTAGATTTATGTCCCTTTACAAATGAAAAAATTGCTGAATTTTTCGTTTCCTTTCTTTTTCTTAAGCTTGCCTCAACCAAATAGTATGAAACTTATACACAATGCTCATTACAACAAAACTCTGATCAAGTACAAATTTGGGTAGCGTCATTTCTACGGTTCTTGAGTTATATCCCTTTATAATGTTATATGCAAGCAGGGGCATCATCTATGTCCCATGGACACATTCCCCATTTATTTTTATATAAGTTTGTTGCCAAAAGATGTTAACAAAGGGCAAACAATAAAGAAATTTAGACACAAAGTCAATTTTGATGTTACATGTACTGTTAAAAAAAGCAAAGAATAAATTGTATAAATAAAAGGAGATGTTGGGTATATGTCAATGAGACAGCAACCAAAGGGGAAAAATCATAAGACATCTCAAGGGCAATATATAGCTTCAACAACAGACAGTTGTTCATTCAATATGTCAAGCTTTAAATTGTCTTGAGTTGATAAAAGTTGTGAATAAATTTAAATTTATCAGAAACAATCAAAGCTCTGCCATTAACACTCAATTCTCCAAAGAACAAAAACATTAAGATATGACAAATGACAACATCTAACAAGGTTCATAACTTAGAAGGCACATGAAAATAAAACATGGTTAAACTCGTTCTTTGCGGTCTCAACCCTCTCCATTTTTAATCTTGATCAGTAGATAAACAAAATATACTTTAAAGAACATACTATAAAAACCAGTACGGGAAACGCAGTTAACAGTATGAAAGATAACATTAACACAAAATAAATAACAAATTTTAGAAAAATGCTCACAGTTACTGAGGGCAGGCTCAAAACATCATTATGAGAAATCATCTTCATTTAATATCAGTTACTGTACTTCATAGAAGATTTCATACAGCAGTGTCATAAATAGCACTGGAAAAATAATATTTTGCAATGCCCAAAAAAAACTATAAAGGAAAATAAAAGAAACATTTTTTTATACCTAAAAGTATGAAACACATTATTTGACAACAAAATTGCTAAAAACACAATTCCATAAAATGCTCTTGTTTTTATCCTTTTGACTAATTGAGTGGTGGAGATGATATACTGTTAAGTTTACTGTTTGGTTCTTCTCCTGTCCCAGTTGAGGTTTGGACCTAAGAAACGATCGACAGTTTGTAGTGTGCACATCTTAATTAGCAGTATAGGTTCAACGATAAATTGTGTCATCAATATTTTACATTTGAATGAATGCAGTATGAGGATTAGGTCTACAGATCTAATCAGTGACTAGTCAGGCAGGAATGAATTTTTTTTCCAGATCTTATCAGGAAAAATAGTCCAGGCATAAATTTGGTCAACTCTGTGTACATTATTGGTGAATGACTTCAGTTTAGGATTGTCTTGATAGTTTTGTAACTAGATGCCGGATTAATTTATTGATTAATTGTTAGTGTTTAACACCACTTTCAGCACACTTGGCTACATCATGGCGGCTAATTTTATTTGGTGGAGGAAGGCTGAGTACCGAGAGAGAATCACCTACATTCTGCAGGAAAACTGGCAATCCTAGATATAAATGATGAGATGTGGTATGATTGCCAATGAGACAACTATCCACCAGAGTTTGATTGAAGTGGTAGTAAGCAATTATATGCCACCGTACAGCCTTCAACAATGTGAAAAACCCTTATAATATAGTTTATTATAAAAGGTCCATTTATAACAAAACAATTTACGAAAAACAAATATGACCGACATGAAATAACGACAACCACTGTACTACAGGCTCTTGGCTTGTGACAGGCATATAAAGAATGTGGTGGGGTTAAACATGTTTGTGAGCACCAAATCCTCCCCTAACCTGGGAAAGTAGTTTAACAGCACAACATAAGAACAAGCTGTAAAAATCAGTTGCAATTGCAAAGTATCAGTAAGAGGCACAAAAAACAACTAACATAAAAAAAAAAAAAATAGACACAAAGCACTGAAATAAGAGTACTCATGGTAACTGAAAGCTAGATTAAAGCCAATTACAACTAGTAAGTAAATCATGTTCTCCCAGACAATTAAGATCTGAAGTGAAAGCACCTTGCCACAAGTGGGGTTTGAACTGTAAAACTCATTAACTACAAACTAGTGTTCAATGTAGATGAACTACATAGACCACTTGATTACCCAAGGCTCTCCTGTATGCAGGATTAAATTCATCAATTTACAATGAAAAGGTCTATCTATATATATATACAAGTCTAAATTGAAAACAACGTTCAAACCTATGATTGCGTTGGATAAAAACCGCAATTTTTATATGTGTTCATGCAAAACAAATTTCTTGGTAGAGGGGTCTAAATACAGAACAAACAACATTTTCCAAAGGACCAAAAAAGTGAAAAAGTATATTTTAACAAAACTCATTTGACTAGCAGGTCGAACAACGGATGTTCTTAAACCCTGCTGACTGCCATTGATGATTGCCAAATAAACGGATCACCAGATGTAACAAAATGGATCTTAATTATAAATTTAATACCAAATAGAAAACAATAAACTTGCGGAAAAGATGGTATACCGCAAACAAAAGGTGCAGAAATTAGTACACCATATCCGGATTTCGACAATTAATGTCTCTTCAGTGATGTTAGGAATCGAAACGGTATTTGGAAGGCCATATAATTTACCTCAATTTAAGATAGACTCTTGAATTTTGATGAGTCGAAATAGGATGAACGGATCATATAAACCCAAAGGCAAATATAATACAAGCCCAAACAAAAAAATACAAACAAGTCTAAATTGAAAACAACGTTCAAACCTATGATTGCGTTGGAAAAAAACCGCAATTTTTATACATGAGCATGCAAAACACATTTCTTCGTAGAGGGGTCTAAATACAGCACAAACAACATTTTCCAAAAGACCAAAAAAGTGAAAAAGTATATTTTAACAAAACGCATTTGACTAGCAGGTCGAACAACGGATGTTCTTAAACCCTGGTGACTGCCATTGACGATTGCCAAATAAACGGATCACCAGATGTAACAAAATGGATCTTACGTTAATTATAAATTCAATACCAAACAGAAAACAATATATATATATATATATATATATATATATCTATTATATATTTGAAACCTGTGCTGCAGAAATCTAATTACATAATGCAAAGTTACGTAAATTTCTGTCTCTGTCTTGTCAGTCCTTTCTTCTTTTTGTCTGTGCATCCGCAACTCATTTCTGTCACAATTTTACAAATCCGAGCTTCTTGATGGTTGGTGATTAAGCTTAAACTGTGCGACACATTTTCAGATCCATCACTCATCTATTTTCTGTTTCTTCCATAAATGTACGTGATATTTAAAGTTGACCTTAGATTGATTTGGCTATTTTGAGGTACTTTTGGTCATATAGCTCTTCTACTGTTTTGGTTCTTATACATCCTTGGCTTTCAAATATTCGGCTTAGAGCGTTCCTGATGAAGGTAAATCCAGAAAAGCACTTTGGACACATCAAAATTCATAACATGTTGTTTTCATTTTTTAAAGAAAATGTTTATAGAGTTATGCTGCTTTGTACAACGGATTTTGAAATATTATTTCAAAGTCATCAAAATGCCTTGGTGACCTCATGGTAGCATGTTTGCTTTAGTTACAGAAGTTGTAGCCCATCTGGGTTAAACCAGACTTTGAAATTAGTATGTACTGCTTATCTGCAAGGAATATGACAGAAGTAAGAGAAAAGACTGGCAAGGTGATATTTAGGAGCTTGTATATTCAGAAAAGCTTGTTACTTTAGGGGGAAATCTTACTGCAGGCTGTTACCCTGTGTGCAAGTAAAAATCCAAAGCTGTGTTGGTCCAGTATTGATCATATATCATTCCGACTTTCCATGCATTATTTGCAGCTTGAAATTAAACAACTATCAACCAATCAAATAAGCCATAGAAGAAGTAAAAATTTTAGTTCAAGACTTGTCAGATGAACATGTATGCCTTCTACAAGTCCATTTCCCCAAAATTAAACCTGTCATGTAGTTCTTGTAAAAAAGGTTTGGTTTTTTTTCTGACTGCAGGGGTGTAAAAAAGAAGTGAAAGCCATGTGAAACTTTTCAGACATATTATACTTCATTGTAGACTGAACCATAAATATAAACAGGTAAACCAAACCTCTGAAGCATGAAAATTAAAAAAGGCAATGACATATGAGTTGAATGGTGCATTACTAATTAATGACAAGCAGCAAATATTTGTACATGCATGTTCAGGTGAGATATAAGTATACCTTGCTTTGTACTATAAATGGACATAATGATTCAGAATTTTAATGCTAGCTCATAAGACAAGTCTGCACAGACATCATCTTACTCAGATACATTATTCTGACATCCGGCTGACTAGTCTTTCCTCTTGCTCCTTAAAGCCAAATGCATGGCTGCAAACAACAGTTTTAAAGTTTCGTTTTGATAAAGTGGAGATTCAACCATTGATCTCTTACATATAAGATATGTCAAATGGACATGTATATCCCTTTAAACAAATTTTGTTGATCTGTACTGTAAAGCAAGATGAGGGATCAGTATAAAGTGAGATGAGGAGCCTATACAGTATTGTGAGAATTTGGAAACTTATTAGAAATGACAACACTACAACTATTTGATATGCTAGCTTATGCATGGTCTTAGAGCTTATGCATGGTCTTAAAGTCATATGAAACAAGTTTCAAAAAAATTTGATGTTCAGGAAATTATTGAACCAATGCATTCATATATACTTACTAAGTCCTATCTGCATTGTTACGAATCTATGTTTAATCGACACATAATATTTCATTCGGTGATTGTTGATCGCAAGCTCATTAACTTTCAAGTTTGATAAACAATCAACACAGAAGCATGTGGAGCATGTAAAAAATAAGTAAATTGAAAGAGCGATGTAAATTTTTTTTTTATATTTTTCTATGCGTTCCCATGTGTCTAACAAACTTTTAAATAACTGTTGTTAAATGATTTTTTGTATTTAATTTGTTCTTTAAGAATCAACTATTACTATTTACCTTCCAGTGCAAGTTTGTTTACATTGTCATCACGGTTTTCCCTCGCACTTGCACTGTGTGGTGGCTTAAGTTCTAAAGAGAGGTCTCGTAGTTAAGGTCACTGCATGCTGTAAAATATCGACGAATTAGTATACAGGAAGACAATAATTCAATATAAGTATATTTCTGAAGATTTTGATAGGATGATGGTATTTTCTTTCACAAGAAAGTCCATGTACACTTGTTTTATAATACAACTTAGCCTTTCAAGTATATAAAACATATTCTTTTTTTTTTTTTAAATTTGAAGTTTCATATGACTATAATCCATTTGAATTCTGTCTTGATCTGAAAAAAAATTGTAGGCAATCAAGGTACTGTAAATTCAGAAATTATTGCGAGGTTTTTATTTATGCGAATAATGCGACTGAATCAGTATCGCAATAATAAGAACTCGCATTCTGATATATGATACATATTACTGTATGCAGATTTTCCTGAAATCGCAATAATTAATCTCGCATTTTAGTCCATTATACAAAATTTGCAAAAATTTCTGAATTTACAGTATGTAACTGCATACTGTATATACCATGTCAGCATGTTGTCTATTTTGACTGTGTGTCCCTCTACAGAATATGTCGTTTAATAATGATTTATAGATCTTTAGTTGTCTCCCTTGATTTAGTTTCCTCATACCATTATTCCAAAGTGTGCAGTCATTACTGTTAGTGTAGAAGATCACCTAATTACAACTACACATTACAGTACACTTATTGCTGTCCTATTAACATTGAACCTAATCATAGCAGTGCTTATATAGGGATTAAAACATGAATGAACATGGTGTTGTGCTAAGCATACCTCTGCTCTTATCGGAAAACAGGAAGAAGTTGTCTGACATATCAGAAAAGGACACACAAACACATTACAACTCTTCACTGTTGAGCTGCTGATCAAGTAGTATTTGAGAAATATGTGACGAGCATTTTAAGTACATTCAATATATTTTAAAATTCAAGGTATCAGAGGGGCCACAGTGGCCGAGTGGGCTAAGTAGTTGAACTACTGTATCACTAGCCAGTCAACACTGAGGTTGTGTGTTTAAATCCCAAACGTGGCAGGTGCGCTCGACTGCAATCTTAATTGACTAGGATTGTCAGTTTTCCTAGGTCGGTGGTTCTCTCTGGGCACTCCGGCTTCCTCCACCAATAAAAACTGAATGCCATGAAATAGCACAATAGCATTGAAAGTGGTGTTAAACACCAATAAATCAATCAATCAAAGTATCAGCGAACAGGAACAAGGTTTCTAACACATCTGATAAGTGGTTACATGTAACTACTCATCACTGTCAAACTACTGACCAAATATGAGGTCAAGTTCAGTAGTTTATGAGAATAGTGTGAAAACAATATTTGTCATTGAACAGTCGAATGGATCAACAAGGTTATCTCAATACATACAGGAGTGGGATTATAATAATAAAACTTCAATTGTATATCAGATATTTTTTTATTAATAAGATATCTGATGAAAGTCTTACATGATTACATGAAAAAAAAAAAGACTAAATTGTAAAAAAAAAGTTACAGCAAAATATTTTCAAAATTTACATTCAGATCTTATTTGTAATTTTATATAGATATAAAAGTGTGTATAGTAAAAATACAGACATACAGATCAGCAAATAATACTATGTGTAAATACATTGACCATGCTCCTATTATGATAAAAACTGGAACAATTCTTTGAAAAGGAGAATTTTGTTCATGGACATGTGCTACTCTATCTTAAATAGCAGGTAATCTATTTGTACAAGATAAGCTCTGTTCCATTTTGTTTGTCTTTTCCTGAAATTATCAAAGATTTTACAGTTTGGGTAACCAATATCATTTTTTGCTAATGACATTACTATAACTTGGAGATGACCTTTATATTCATAAGTCAGTTATTGAGTAATTGAAAGTTGAGGAAATTCTGGGTAGGTTCTACCAAGAGGAAGTTATATTTTTAATTTATATAAAATTTATGAATTTGTTCAAAAAAAGTAATCTCATTTTCAGATCAATAAAACATCAATTATTCTGTTGGCTAATTACCATTCCTACTTATAAACAAAAAAAAACCTTGTTAACATGAAAATGCTTTTCAATTCCCATGCAAAACAAAATTTTATAAGTGAATTCTATCCTAAGAGTTTGTTCTTGGCATGCTATACAATCATGACAATGAATACAAATTGTTCTTCAAGAATACAAAAAAGAAAATTAAATATTTTACAAAATGTTCTATGATAAATGTACAAAAATTTACAAAAAGATACAACAACAACAACATTGATTGTATTTCACAACTATATGTAAGTAACCTTCAAATGACCTTCTGCATTGTACCCCAGATCCTGAGAGCTACAGAATAACAAATTCCTGGCCAAAACTAATTCAGATGTATGTGCAAAATAATGAAACAAGTTTGCCAGACTGTTTACACAAGGCAGTGGTCAAGGAAATTAACAAAACTGATATGTGAAAGGATAAAATGTTTGTACCATTTTCATTTTTTGTACTGAGAATTTGTAAAATTATGTTAGTACAGAAAACTGTAAATATATATTGTGTTTCGCCTTATTATTGAACTTTTAAGGAACTTATCCTGCTCAATATCCTCATACTTCAACCTCCCTATGTTGACAGGGGGGACATATAATGCTGGCAAATTGAATAGATTAATACAAGTAAATAATATAAACTGAACAGTATAAATGTATTACTATTATTTATACTATCTACCTGTATTTGGTGCACAAATGAAAGATTTGTTTGCCTAAAATGAAATGCCAATAGGTGTAAATGCAAAGCACAGTTTCTAATGTCTCTTTTATTACTGGTACCAATTATAGTCACTATAATCTGATTTTTTTTTTAAAACATCACAACAGTTTTCTAAACACTTCCCTATTGCCAAAATGAAAATACACATGAAATAATCCTTTCACAATCAGGGACATGATATGAATGAACAACTTAGTAAGAACAATGACAGAGGTGGTTTACAAAATATAATAAAATGTTTACTGTAAAATGGGACACAACTCTTTATGTACACATGGACAGTAACTGTACTTATTGTTGTATAGAAGCAGTTTATTTACAAAATAAAACACATACATTGTAACTAGAGATCATGACTATCAAATAAATCTTAAGATATGTAAAAACTATAATGTATAGATATCAAAAATGCCAGCAGTTTTCAAAGAAATTTATAATTTATATATGTATGTCAATTCACCCAATATCAAATACATAATATTTGCTTTTTTTTTGTAAGTTAGTCATGTTAGTATTACAACACATCAGATTATAGGAAGACTACAGTTAATTGATTTAACTGGTATTCTTTTTTTATTGCATAATTTTTGCCATGCTGAATATTAAATCAGATTCTTTATCTCTTTTCAATATAAATCCAAGATTGGTTTAAACCACTTTTGTATGTTTGATTAGATTTGAAAATTATGCAAAGAAATCATATGCATACCTTGGGGAGCTTTCCAAATGTTGAAGAAAATTATATTAACTATCATGATTATCTATTTTTGTTTTTGATTAAAGCCAAATTAATCTTAATTTTGACAAAAGTCTTATGTATCAGTAACTTTATGTTGAAATGTACAACAATGTATACGTATCACTGCTTAAAACAGCATTACAAAATGAAAACATACATTTTGTTTCCAAGCATGTGTGATTTAAAACTGACTGAATTTAGAGCAGTTTTACCATTTGGAATAATTTAGTTTTACTGTCATCTTATGTTTCTATATCAATCATGTAAAATTGAAATGTTTTATCAAAACGTATAGATTAAAACTTTGATTTTGAACAAACATGAAATTTCAAATACATTTGATTTTAGGACCAATTAGGCCACAAATGCAACCTTCTACCTAAAGCAAATCATGATCATAACAATTGACATTATATTGCATTATTCCCTACTTTTTAATCTAAAAAAAAGGTTAATTCAGCTTAAATGATGAACAGATAGCTAAAAAAAATGTTAAGGTTACATACAAGATGAATATACATTTCATAAAAACAACATATACGCAGACTTAATACATGTTCCTTTGGTGATTAAAAAACTGAATCATAAAACTGATATGAAAATAAAAATGTAAATGTTTCCATATGTAAGGCAATGTAAAGCACTAACCGAGATCACAACCGGATTTCATTGTGTAAAACAACCTATTCTTTACAGATATACATTCGAAAAATTTATATTACCGGCATACAAAAAAGGATGAATTTAACTGTTAAACACACAGCAACTAATTGTTTGCAGTTATCCAATTTTGACTGGCTTGATTATTTGTAGGTGTTGGAAAAAAATAGTTTAGTTTTTTTAAGGATCACTCATGCTTATTTTCACAAGCCCTTGCTCTATTTCAAATTTTGTAAATTAGGCCCCCTAAAATATATACTTGTTTCCTGCCCAAAAATATATACTTGTTTCCTGCCCAAAAATATACAATTGTTTCCAGCCTCGATGCAGATAAAATAAAGGTAGGTAGTTCAGTAGAATTTTTTTTAAATTGTACATCTATAGACTATATAGAAAACTATTTTGAACATTAACAATTGTTAACCAAAAATGTTCATAAAATGTATTATAAATAGTAGGCATGAAAAATTAGGGTAGGTAGGGAGGAAGAAAACAGAACTATATTACTTTTTGGCCCTTCAAAAAATTAGAAAAAAGTTGATCTTATCCACATGCTTGCAGACTTTTAAGGAAATTCAATAATGCCTAAAATAAATCAAATTCATGCCTCCGATAAGCTAAATTTTATTGGAACATTTTCAAAACATATATGCATTTTGATTTCAGTATTTTACATTTTAATATCTTACAACCAATTTCAGCATGTGACTGTGAAAGTAAGCCTAAATCATTGACTTAGACATACTGTAGCCATGGTAGTAACTTATAGCTAAATGCACATGTATACAAACGTCAAATATTTTGATTCACAAAAGTCCTTCTTACACATGCTACAGCTTATTAATGTGTATACTAAATGGCTTCTCATGTATGTGTTTTTGGTAGAAATGCATATTTGTACCCAAGGACCAAACCTCAGTCAACCAAATGTGTCTTTTAACTGGGACAATACATGTACCAAGCTTCCAAAGTTCAAATGTATTTTTGGACTTGGCACATTTGCTGTAAATACTTACATTATAATTTAAAAGCATATGATCATTAAGATATTCATTAAACACTAAGTTGTATTAATGGCACCTTCTGAGACTTATAAAAGTAAATGAAATATACAACAAATTAGTTTGTTCTTTCTTCTTTTGAATCAGATCTGTAATGACATTCCTTCAGCAGTTCATATGATGCTAAAAATGAAACTGCAACACATTTTCCCAAATCACTACTAAGCTTGAACAAATCCCAATTATCATACAGATGTTTCAGAATTCAATCTCAGGACAAACTTGTTGGTCTTTGGATCAATCACATCTTCAGTTAAATTAAAATGAGGCAGACGTTTAACAACACAAAGTAAAGAAACATCATTTTGACGTAACTGAAATGTCAGATTATGTTCAATCTCTCTAGAGAGTAACTGATCACAAACTAGCACCCACTTTGTAACAGGTCTGCAGTCTTTTTCACTCATTATGATGGCACCATGAGGCATGTATCTCTCTACAAAGGCTTTAGGGCTCATATCGTAGTTAATACATAATGCAAGATGATTTAAAACATTGTCCATTGAATATTTTGGTTGCTGTCGTGTTATCCGTAGAAATTTCTGAAGAGCTCTTGCCATCGAGGGAAAGACTGCTTGTGAAGCTTCATGAGGATCCATCGGTATTGCAGGACCTACAAAATAAAAATATTAAAATTCAAGTAAACTGATCCATTAGTATTGCAGGACCTACAAAATAAGAATATTGAAATTCGAGTAAACTTTACAGACAAAAGAAGAAAATTTTTTATCTTAAACTTGCGTTGCTGTCTCATTAAAAGTTACCCCTTCGTCTTTTATTCATCGTGTTGAATATTACTGTAAAGTATAATTGTAGGCAAGGGTCCGGAAACAGTTATATTTGCCAATCATGACCTAAACTGAAAGCTATATGTCCTTAACACAAAATTGGGATTTAGGACAAATAACTATATTAATGCCTCCTGGAAATATTGGCTAATGATCGGTAATCACTTTTAGCCTGTGTTTTTAATTCACACCTGACATTTTATCACAAGCTCAGAACTAATATCATAGAGAAATCAAAATTTCATGACAACTGTATTCCTTATTTAGTTAGTTTTCAGCACAGATAATCATCAATTCTGATTTAAAAATTAAAATTTAATTATATTTACGTAGAAAACAAGTACTTTTTCACGAGTAACACATGTGCTTTATTTACTATGTAACACACATGCGTAAAATTTTCTTCAGCAGATTCCACATTTAATCGTAAAATGCAATATGATTTCATGCTAAATTAAACTAGTGCAACTATTAATTGTTATATTCAAACACTTTGAAAGGTCATGAAGGTAATAAAACTAAAAAGCCGATGATTTCCTGTCTATGTTATAAACAAAACGAATCCGGGAAATGAATCAGGAATTACTCGTACTTTAATATTGTCGCAAAACTTCCGGTTTTAATTTCGTCTTAAAAATGGAAAGAAACTTTAGCGGTATCTGAGAATTTAACCATTTTGAGTCATTAAAATCATTTCAATTTTAAACTGTTCTTTAAGGTTTTTAGAAAATTGGTAAGAAAATTCACGAAGTAAATGCAATGAAACAGTCAATAAAAGTTTGTTGATGCTATAAACTGTGATATCAACAATTTGAAAAAAGGGCACCAACTTTCAAGTCATCTCAAAATGACAAAAATTGTGTGAAAAAATTTCCGGATCCTTGATTGTAGATTATGGAATTTATGTTTAAGAAAAACTTGTTACACTTATTTTCACTGTGCATGTAAAAATTGCACATTCAACAACATATTTTACAGAAATCTTTTTTTCAAGGTGATTTAGTGCTCCATAAATAATTTTTAATTCAGTGGGTCTTAAGTCATTCTAAATACAATATTTTAACCTCAAGACAATTCAAGACATTCTCACAGACTGAGTGATATTAGATATTGCCAGTTCTTTACAATAACAATTAGCATATTTATTTTTGATTTCGTGAACTGAAAACATGATGGGGTGTTCATCCCAGTACATGTATCTAAATTATCTGATATAAAGCAAAACTGTCAGTGTCAGAACTGAAAACGTGATGGGTTGTTCATCCCAGTACATGTATCTAAATTATCTGATATAAAGCAAAACTGTCAGAACTGAAAACGTGATGGGTTGTTCATCCCAGTACATGTATCTAAATTATCTTATATAAATAACAAGAGTGCACACACTGAAATGTCTCGCCTTCTTTACTAATCATTGATATTATGTTGATAGTCCTAAATATAAAGCTTTATTACAACTGTCACATAAACTTAACATTAACCAAGTAAACTAAACATTGACCAATGAACCATGAAAATGAGGTCAAGGTCAGATGAACCATGCTAGGCAGGCATGTACAGCTAACAATTCTTCCATACAACAAATATAGTTGACCTATTGCTTATAGTTTAAGAAAAACAGACGAAAACACAAAAACTTAACACTGAGCAATGAACCTTGAAAATGAGGTCAAGGTCAAATAAAACCTGCGTGACTGACATATGGATCATAAAATATTTCCATACACCAAATATAGTTGAACTATTGCATATAGTATTAGAAAAAAAGACCAAAACTCAAAAACTTAACTTTGGCCACTGAACCATGAAAATGAGGTCAAGGTAAGATGACACCTGCCAGCTAGACATGTACACCTTACAATCATTCCATACACCAAATATAGCTGACCTATTGCATGCAGTATTAGAAAAAAAGACCAAAACTCAAAAACTTAACTTTGACCACTGAACCATGAAAATGAGGTCAAGGTCAGATGACACCTGCCAGCTAGACATGTACACCTTACAATCATTCCATACACCAAATATAGTAGACCTATTGCATACAGTATAAGAAAAACAGACCAAAACACAAAAACTTAACTATAACCACTGAACCATGAAAATGAGGTCAAGGTCAGATGACACCTGCCAGTTGGACATGTACACCTTACAGTTCTTCCATACACCGAATATACTAGACCTATTGCTTATAGTATCTGAGATATGGACTTGACCACGAAAACTTAACCTTGTTCACTGATCCATGAAATGAGGTCGAGGTCAAGTGAAAACTGTCTGACGGGCATGAGGACCTTGCAAGGTACGCACATACCAAATATAGTTATCCTATTACTTATAATAAGAGAGAATTTAACATTACAAAAAATCTGAACTTTTTTTTCAAGTAGTCACTGAACCATGAAAATGAGGTCAAGGACATTGGACATGTGACTGACGGAAACTTTGTAACATGAGGCATCCATATACAAAGTATGAAGCATCCAGGTCTTCCATCTTCTAAAATATAAAGCTTCTAAGAAGTTAGCTAACGCCGCCGCCGGATCGCTATCCCTATGTCGAGCTTTCTGCGACAAAAGTCGCAGGCTCGACAAAAAGCAAAAGAGTCAGAACTGAAAACGTGATGGCTTGTTGGTCCCAGTACATGTATCTAAATTATCTTATATAAATAAAAAGCAAAAGAGTCAGAACTGAAAACATGATGGCTTGTTGATCCCAGTACATGTATCTAAATTATCTTATATAAATAAAAAGCAAAAGAGTCAGAACTGAAAACGTGATGGCTTGTTGATCCCAGTACATGTATCTAAATTATCTTATATAAATAAAAAGCAAAAGAGTCAGAACTGAAAACGTGATGGCTTGTTGATCCCAGTACATGTATCTAAATTATCTGATATAAAGCAAAAGAGTCAGAACTGAAAACGTGACGGCTTGTTGATCCCAGTAAATGTATCTAAATTATCTTATATAAATAAAAAGCAAAAGAGTCAGAACTGAAAACGTGATGGCTTGTTGATCCCAGTACATGTATCTAAATTATCTTATATAAATAAAAAGCAAAAGAGTCAGAACTGAAAACGTGATGGCTTGTTGATCCCAGTACATGTATCTAAATTATCTTATATAAATAAAAAGCAAAAGAGTCAGAACTGAAAACGTGATGGCTTGTTGATCCCAGTACATGTATCTAAATTATCTGATATAAAGCAAAAGAGTCAGAACTGAAAACGTGACGGCTTGTTGATCCCAGTACATGTATCTAAATTATCTTATATAAATAAAAAGCAAAAGAGTCAGAACTGAAAACGTGATGGCTTGTTGATCCCAGTACATGTATCTAAATTATCTTATATAAAGCAAAACAGTGAGAACTGAAATACATCTAAGAAATTGAATTACTGTCAGGCTATAGTACATTATAAAGCTCTTCAATGAATCAACAGTCTGGTTATAATTTGTAAACTCTATAATAGACTGGTAACCTGATCATACAACTAATCTCCTACAAAATGTTTCTATTAAACCTTCTTCTTCATAATCAATTAACATGTAAAGTTAACATCAAATAGTACGGAGATCATGCAGTTTATACATCAAATTCTTATTTATATCTATCATGTCTATATAAACCTGGCAATAGGATTTTTCTACCTTCCATTTCTTTCGGCTGACTACCAATGCGGTTGACATTAGTTTCTGCACATTGCTGAAGTAGCAATATAATTTAGTACTTATATAATAATTAAGTTTGTATAAACATTACAATGTAGAGTTTGACACAATTTTATTAACCAAGACCTAGAGACCTCAAGTATTAATATTTTGAAGAGCAACACAGTCTGAAGTACTTCCACCTGTAACAAGGCTGTTATATTTATCCCAAATTGTCATGACCAAAATTAGAATACAATTCTGAGGTCTCAATAAAGGGCTAATATTATGAACTTTTACATGCCTGAACAATAAAAACTGAGAATGGAAACAGGGAATACTGTATGTCAAAGAGACAATAACCCGACACAAAGAGCAGAAAACAGCACAACACTACTTTTGTAAATTAAAAGCAAATATGGACAAAAGTATTGAGTTTGAGTCAGAAATGTGCTTGAACATCAAAGTTTAAGTTTTATAAGCAACAAAAAAATACAATATGGGCTCATATGCTTCTCCCCCTGTGTAGAAACGGCGAAATATATGATGCTTAGCTACATGTACATGTTTGGAAAGCCACAAGATTTTTTGACAAAAAATTATGTTTTAAAATGATTTTAACACATAGAATGAAAAATAATGAACTCTTCAGTGACCTATTATTCAATTTTGCATCACAATATAAGGAAGGACTCTCATTTTGTAAAACAGTGTTGCTAAAATCTAAATTATAATTCAATATCATCTTGTGTTTCTAATTCTCTACACTGAGATCCTATAAATATATTGCCTTTTTGTAACATTAGTCATAGTCAATGCATTTTATTTGAATCGTAAAAATGAAATTTAGTATTTACATACACCTTTCAACAATAAAAAGCATAAAATAACAGCTTCTAAATTGCAATATTCTTTACCTAATGATATTTCAATATTGTATAATTTTTCAGGTCATAATTCAAAAGAAAGTGTTTACATTAAAACTGTTGTATATAAACTATGAACAGATACACTTCAAACACCTGGAGGAATCTCTGCAAAACATGTTTATTATTCAATGTTTTAAAACACCCTTGGATGCAATAATCATGATAATATCTACCGACTTAAGATCATGTAGCTAATGGCAGTAAATTATTACATTTTATACATATGTCTAGATATCATATTTTACATGTACATGTATTCATGTGCATTAATCAGGAACTTTGAGCTATAAAATAAAGAAACTTCTTTTAGTTAATTATAAATACCCTTCCTTCATCTTTCAATTTGAATTTCAATCAGAATGATTACTATTGAAAAGTTTTGACCTTTTCCCTTTTTTTTGCCCTATTACATGAACATTTGTACATATAAACTAGTGAATTACCTTGTTCATCCTGCATACGTTTGATATGAGTGAATGCTTCCTCTGCAGCAACCATTAACCTTGCTTTTCTCTTTCTCACTCGTCTCTCATACTCCAACTCGTCATAAAATCTGTCGTTATGACTAGCATCTCTTCTTCTAGAAGATTGAGAGGCAAATATTGCACGAGGACGATCTTGTTGATTCTGAGGTTGATTCCCATCAACGTTGTAAAATTTAAGACTTGTCATCTTAGCTGGTCTCTTAGTGATGTTTTCCAAGTATGGATTGTATACTGGAAAATCTCTGTGATATTGCTCCAATATCCATGCAGCTGCTCGCTGAATACTTAGCGCACCAATATTATAACATTTAGATTCAGCATCGGGAGAACGTAGGACTTTGACAACGTACATAGGTTGAATTTGTCGGATTTCCAGTAAAATGACTGCAATGTAATGAATGAAAAGCAGAGCATCTACTAATGATACGGCAAACTTTACAATGTCATAATATGCAGTTTTCTTTTCTTTTAATATTCTAACTCCATAAAACAGCCAGAAAGCAAAAGTCAAGATAAAAACTAAAAATAGAACAACTGCTCTAAACAAGAAGACCCTTGGCATTGTTGCTTTGGGCTGCCTGAAGAATAGAGCTACAGTAGCAATACATAATATCAACAGTTTAAATGCAAAGCTGATTAAAAGTCCTTCACATTCAGGGGCACACTCTCCTGCTTCCCAGTTACTTAAAAGTTTAGGTAACACAACCATAGCAACAGGGGAGAGAAATCCTATGACACTTAAGATTCCTGCTAAAGCAGTTCCAATGTAACGAGCACAACCAATACCAATGTTATCGTCAAAACTTTCTTTTCCAAATTTTGAACGGAATTCATCCATAGAAAATCCAGTCTCACTGGTATTACCTGAAAAGAGTCAAAGTCAAAATATTAATTTGTGTTTAATATACTTATTTATCAAATATTTGAGGGAGTTAATTCTTATACATTGTACCTAAAACAGAAGATAGTATAAATTTATGTTTATATGATTGTAACTATTTTTATTAGCCACATAACTGCTCTTAGAATTCAAAGGTGTAGTTAATGTATTTTCTGTGTTATTACTCTACAACTATACATGTATGTTGATAACTATGTGCTGGTTTATTTGTTATGCAGATTGATATATATATATATTTCATATCCTGGTGAAACACTATTATCAAGGAATTGCAGTACATTTTACGTCTTGTTACAATGAAAAAAAACAAAAAAAACCAATGTAGCTTTACACTACTAGGGATGACTTGATGTTGAGATATATCATTGACTCCATTGACTCATTGTTGAAGACCATCTAAAAATAATGATGATAAAGAACAGCCATCAAAGAACAATCCACTAGTGACTTGATATATGGATAGTTGGTTACATGTACGTCTAAGAAATTCATGACATTTTCCTAAATGTATGAACATTAAGTACAATAGAACATGCACCCCACATCTATTTCTTTTGAACTGTTTACCTGTAATAGCAGTTGTGTTGTCACCCCAGTTGTCATCTTGAGGAAGAATCTGGACTTCTACCCTCTCCATTGGGTCGTCATTCTCCGACGCTGGGGTATTTATAGTAACAGAACGGTTTTCTCTCTGGTCCCTATAACCACTTCTGTCGGAAGCTCGACTACTAGCTCTATTACCACCACCATGATGACGATGATGTCTGCTGCCATGACTACGATGTGACCTTTCTGACCTATCACTACGACCAGATCTCACAGATTCAGCACGATCATCCATTGTTTGACTGGATCTTTTACTTCAATTCTGTAATGATAAAGCAAAGTAAAATTATCCCAAATTAAATGATCTATCATATATTATAAATCTATCTTTTCCTAATTTGTAACAAGATTTTGAGCTTACTTGTAGTGCTTAGCCTTTCGGTATAAGCATTTGTTGATAAAGCTCTTCTTCTAAATTCATATCAATATAACATTCAAGATGAAGAGAGTTTATCACTTTGTATAAACTGTATGATAATCAAATGTTTCTCTACATAAAATGACCACATATCAAAGTTTGAGGTGTTAATATTCTGGACAGGACAGAATACCCTAAAGCTATGCTATTTATTTTTATTATTTATCCTAGGCCATGACCATTAGACAAACAGTTCAAATTTCCTTTGTATATTGTTACCTGGTGCTGGGTATATAATTTCAAAACTGTTCTTTTTTCATCTTCTGCGGTTTAATACAGACAGATGCCTATAAAAATGATTTTTTAATTAGCCCCATACCGAGCATCTAAAGCTGAACATATTAAAGACATTCCATCTGCCTTTTAAATATAATTAATGTATTAAGGCCTTTTAATGTTAATGTTCAGAGTTTTCATACTGCAAAAATAATAAAAAATAAAAAAATAACTATAATATTGATATCTAAATCCAAAGTTGTATGTTCATGAATAATTAAATGCAATGTAAAGATTTAAAATGGTTCACTAAATTTCATATACATCATGTTAATATATTTCGTTCTTTTGATAATTATACAAAAACTAAAAAAAAATATTTCAGTTTTTGCTTAACAGTGATCCCACTTTTTTTTACAATGGATAGGTTAGTACATCTTAACTATGCACAAGTTTTCTCTCTTTCTAAATTTTGCATGCATCGAGACCATCAATTCTTGAGAAGTTTCAAAACAAATAAAACATTATTATACAATTTATTCCTTTAAACATGTTAAAACATCAAATTGAAGTGGTTCAATTATTTTAGTGGCAAAATTTTCACCTGTTAAATAACAGCAGAATTCTGTGTAAAATTACTATATAATATTGATAAACAGATATATACTTAAGTCTAAATCAACATTTTCAGGACACAATATTGATTTCTCACCTCAATTGAAATTTTTGATCAATTTTTGCATTGTATAAACATGATAAACCTGTTTCAATTGAATATCCTTCAAACTGATTCAGATTTCTGTTAATGAAATGTAAAATGTTTATCCAGTAAACAAATTGACAAATAAATTAAATATCTTTATATTGATTGGAACTTTCAGGTGTAATAAAGGTAGATAGGGTGACAAACAACCATCAAAATGGATCAGTATGGCTTCACTTCCTCCAATGATCAAAGACTACAGTTACTTATAAACTTCTTTACAATGTTAATCTATTTAGTTATCTTCATTTGTAGATGAAAGTTAATGTTTCCATCAAATATAAGATCTCTGTTAATAGGATCTAAGTTCATATCAATTACCAAATAATATCAATACAGATAGTTGACATAATTATTTATTAATTATGTAACAATTAGAATAAACAAAAGTTTAGGGGGGAAATGTAACTAGATGTATGAACAACTTTATTTCTAATAAAACTACAATATCATAGTTATAGAGAATGGAATACTTTTATAATTTCTTTCAGAATTATTATTTTTCTCCACATTAAAGTAACTTCTACCAAATCCACTCGAACAGGATTTTTTTCAAATGTATGACAAAATTTCACTGCCTGTTTTCCATTGAAAGATAATATAATTATTTGTATTTCATTAAATTTTAAATTCTCACAGGAAACATATCACTGAATTTTACCCTTCCCCTCAGCTTTTCAATTTGTGAATATGTTCAGATGATTTCAAATAGGAATTACATATAATTATCCATTGTAATTTGTTATTTAGAAATAGGGAACATGTAATTACCACCCCAATCATATAAATGAATGACCACTTCATTCAGACATCTCAAATCTTCTTTTTAAACAAAATATATCTAACACTGCCAAATATATATCTTTTAAATACATTTTTTGGCAGCACAATGTTTTTCCTGTTAATATGATCAACCTTACGGAATTAAAACACCTTTAACATGTTTAATGTAAATAAAACACATTATTCAAAATTAATTTCAATAATATTTGAACAAATGTTGAATATTGTGATAGAGACTTACTTTATAATACCGGAGATTTAATTTAAAGTAGATAGTATTACAATCTTTCACCCAACTTCTATTTTATATTTAGTATAAAGATCGAATGTGATTATCCTTATGCTTAATTTGCAAAAACTGTAGGCTATATCATCGGATTAGAACCAGCCAAAACTTGTACTGTATATATTCCACTATCCATGAAAAGTTTAAGACTAAATTTTTCCTTCTAATAAAGTAAATGTTGTTGTTTTTAATGGAAACAAATATGTCAGTACAAACATTGATGATGTTACCAAGGAAAGTCAAGATACTGCTTAAAAATTTCTTTTTAATTTTTCATGAAATTTCATAACTTGAAAAGAAATTGCGAACTACATGTCAAAGTTTACTTTTTATCACATAACATTTTATACCTTTTTCACATTTTAATGTATAAACATAAAATAATAAACAAGTCTAAATTGAAAACAACGTTCATACCTATGATTGCATTGGAAAAAAAAACGCAATTTTTATACGTGTGCATGCAAAACAAATTTCTTGGTAGAGGGGTCTAAATACAGCACAAACAACATTTTCCAAAAGACCAAAAAAGTGAAAAAGTATATTTTAACAAAACACATTTGACTAGCAGGTCGAACAAAGGATGTTCTTAAACCCTGCTGACTGCCATTGGCGATATATAACATAAAATAATATGTACAAATTCAATTTAGACTTGCAAATATACTCATACATATTTACAATGTATATTGATCTCTAGATGTCTGTTTAGGGATTTTGTTTTGTTGTTTTCTCATTTAAACAATTACCCCATCTTTTATTAATAGATTTAAGTAATAGATTTTATATTTCCATACCAACTGTTTGCCTCCAGTAAATTACTTCATTTATAAATGATCCTGAAAAACTGTAAGCTGAGAAATTAACATATACATGTAAATGTACTCTTTTTTGGCTGTAAGGGATGTTCCGGAACAGATCCCACATTTGTGTTAGATGTGGGGGTATATTGGTGTTACCTGTCATTATAACTTTTGTGAAAACATTATTATTTCTATTGATCTACTCTTTTTCCAAGTTTGTCATACAGAGAAGCTGATAAAGTTCAAGCTTTTACCTTCAAAGATGTAGTCTGTCTGAAAAAGTCTTTATCCTCATTTATGTAAGATCCTTGCACTCCCTATACAGTAACTAAAATAATCTAAATTTGGTAATTTAATATAATCATGATTTTCATATCAACAGATGTTTTTCTTCAATTAAGAAATCAAAAGACCCAAAGGTATGTGTCAAATCATACAACAACTCAGGAACAGGTATGAATTTCACCTGTTTATTGTAGTTAATTGAGATAAAACAATTACAATGGCTATCAGATTAGGTAATTAAATCACCAACAGAAGGTCAATGAGTTCAAAGCTGTTTGGATTGGTTTATTTATTATGCTTCCCACAAACATAAAAATATCATTTTACAACAAAAATGTCATTACTGTGATTTATTAGAAATGTAAAGTACAGTGAATATGAAAATTTTTAAATTTCAGCAATAAATCAATAAAAATATGTCTTAAGAAAGCCTTTATATATCCAGACATGTCAATGCTACAATATGAAAAGTCCTCATTTAAAGATTCCAGTACATATATGACATTTTTGTTCCTTTAATATTTGCAGATTTCTAAAATACGAAATTACTGAAAAACAGAAAATTCCAGTCTAAAATTTGTACATCATAAAGCACAAACATTAAAATTTCAATTGACAAACATGTTCAATTTTATGTACATGTTTACCTGTACAATTTCCCAATTCAGATTTCTTATAGTGATTGCATTTTGCCTGTTACCGAAATCTATTTTTTTATTTGGCTTTTTACATAAATGTTTTTTTTTTTATAAATTAGAACGACAGATCAAGCACTGTTAATATCTTTAAAACTAGATGTGTTGTTGAATTTTAATTTGTTGAAATACAACTGGGGGGAAATTTTTACAGAATTTTAAGTATACTTTAAAATATAGAAATTCAGCAGTTCTCAATCTCATTTACAAAGCGACATGTATACATTTATCATTTAAGAACATCCCTATCGATAAACAGGATTCAAGCTACCAGGCGACTAGGGCGAAGAAGTCGCTTTCCCGTCTGTCACTTCGCTTTTCCTGACCCTCAAAAGCGAAAACTAGTCGCCCTGTGGTTTACGATACTTGCTTTCAGTCGCTTTCGTCATCGGAAATATTCATTTTTTACCAAGATGATGAAACAGCAATTTTTCATTAAAAAGTAAAGAAATTCAAGGCATAAACGATTTTTTTTCTTCAGAAAAGAGGTTAAAGCATTGATTTCAAAGTTGGTGGCATGTTATTTCATAAAAACAATTTTTTATCACTTCCGGTACTTCTTGTACATCAAATCATTCTAACTTTCGGCAAAATAAGTTGTTACTTCATTAGAACTTGATGAAATTTGTCTGAAGTAAATTTGTTATCCTTGTATTGCATTAAAAACGTCATATTCTTTTCCAAATAGCGTGTCAAACATCATTTAATTTTTTCATCGTCCGCCATTTTAATTATTGGGCATATTATTGTACAACTACGAACGGAGTTGGGATTTCATCGGAAACGGACCTGGTATGACAGAAATCCGGATTTTTACGATATCATAATGACTAAGGACGCATGAATGGCACTGCTGACAGACAAAAATTGTTCCCAAAAGGAAAAATTATGCATTTCTCACACATTAACATACTTTTGGTTAGATCTTCTTCAGTTCTTGATTAATGTATATATTTCCATGTATATGCATTGTTTCAATTTATAAGTTAAAGTTGCTCAACTCTTGGACAATTACACTAATATAATTATATTATGTCCAAGCTTAACTGTTAAATTTATATATCTTTTTAATGAGAAATACTCAGTTTCATGAACATGATAACAGAGTAGTTTTTTAATTGATATAACAACTTTCTTTTCCTTTTTGATTTAAAAAAAAAATCTTTTATATTAGTGCCAGATATTTAATTGTTTTTCTGAAAAGAGGACTCATATGATTGTGCAACTAGATATGATAAAATTAAACAACTTTAAATTTGAACATTTACTTTAATTGTATACCCAGGTACAAATTGAACAATATAAAAAAAATAAGATACATATGGCTCTTAATGTATTATAGTAAAAACCAAACATTGTAGCGCAGCGAGCAAACAAACACTTCTCTTTCAAATCTCACCACTTCTCCCTCTCAATTTCAAAAAGAGAAGTCACTTCTCCCTATGATTCTGAAGTAGCCCTGGATAAAACCAAATTAGTTATTCAAACTGTGGATACTTTTCATCTTTTTTTTTACAAATGCATAAATGCTTAAAATCTAAACATAAATTTAATTTAAGGACCCAAATGCATGTACCTCTACTCCTTCAGTTGAGCAATGTATGAATTACATTTTGTACATATCAAATAGAAGTACCCTGGTCACGCTGTTCTCACATAATGTAATGACATGTGAACAGTGATACATGTACACTAGAAATGTTTTTCCCTGATGAAACAAAACATCCCCAATTTGCAACCCAAAATTGCATTACATCTTCCCTATTGATTTAGCCAAAATAAAACAGTTCAAGCAAATAAGTGAACACTGAGGTGTGTCATAATATTACTTTTCAAAATCTAAGCTTGTAAATGTGTTGTCTAGCTGATACTTTCCAGTGTATTGTACCAATGAATATAAAATCAAACTGACACGTATGGTCACTGCTGTTGCTGACATATATAAAGTAAATAACAAAGACAAGAGTCATCAAGTTACAATAGATGACTGCACATTTCATTTATGATACATCTATATGCAGATAAGGAAAATTCTTTTTTAACAACAGGTGTTCTGATATGACTTAATCAAATTAAACTTGGAGTCTGCATGTTTAATCTGGCACCAAGTGTACTTAAATAATATTGACTAAATCCAAGAAACAGTTAAGTACAACTACGTACTTAACCTTTGCAAGAACTCTACGAGAGGTCAAAAGGAGGCCTAAATTGTAATGTATTATCAGGGCTGACCACACCAGACAAAGTGAGTGAGATTATTGCCCTAGGATTCCCGACTAATTCTTAAAAAGCATCAATTAGAAGTTTTTTGTCACCCTAGATTTTCAGTTAAATACCCCAATGTCACCTTATGATTTTTTTATTTTTATCAGATTATGCACCATTCCCATATTTTGAGGAAATAAAGATGTTACATTGAACCATGACTAGAATGATCCTTAATTATGACACATTTTTTGGCATAATAGTCGGGTATCATTGTTTATTAACTATTTCTCTTTTCCCATTTTTATGGTTTCATCATTTTCAGCTTTCCATTTTTCTGGTATCCTGCAGAAAAAGTTCCAGAGTCACAAAATTGTAGCTGCTGTGTCACCTTACATTTTTGTAAATCACAGGGGCTTGAGTGTGTTATTTCAAAACATAATTTGCTCGCTATCCAATGAAAAACACTGTTAATAAAACAGTTTTCTGGGACCCCTGTATTTAATCCTGGCTCTGCACTGAAGCGGCTCCTGTGTATTTTTACCCAAAGAAACCTTTTCCTTTAATAAAATAGTGCTGAACATTGAGAATGATGAGAAACAAATATCAGGGTTAAGTTTATTAATATATATGTTCTCTGATCTATTTTTTTTCCACTTTTGTTCAAGTGCTTGTTGGTGAAAAATATTACCAGAAATATCAAAAAAGTAATGATGAAATGAGTGACAACTCCATCCGAGATTTTGACAACATACTTCTTTCATGAAATAGTTACCCAGATATCCCAAGATAACAGTTCATGAGCCTTAAACAGCAACAACAAAAAACCTGCTTAAAAAACTTCAAGTCTTCATAAACAACTGTCTCAAGTGCATCCTTATCCTCTGAAGATGTCAAACCAAGATCTGTTGGAAAAGACCAACCAATCCCCAGTTGATGAAGAGTTGAAAAAGAGAAAGTGGAGATGGATAGGGCACACACTGAGGAAGCCAATTCACAGCATTACAAGGCAAATTTTACAGCGGAACCCACATGGAAAGCTTGGCAGGGGCAGACCAAGATACACCTGGAGAAGAAACAATGCAGCCGAGATGGAAAAAGAATGGCATGATCCGGAGAGGCTAGCAAAAAAACAGAACAAGGTGGAGGAATATCGTTAGTGGCCTATGCTCCACCTAGTGGCAACAGGATTAAGCAGCATACAGTCCTAGAATGGATGGGAATGTTGTTGTTCTGCATGTAGATTTAAGCTTTTCATGTATTATCTAGTTAGTGCTAAATGTTTGCCTTATAATGCCTTAATTCTGCATGTGTGCTTTATTTTATATTTGTACTTAATTTTCAGTTTTGCTTCAGTTTAAGCATGTTTAGATGTGTAGTTAAATGTGAGTAGTGTGTTGCATGTATGTCAATATGCCTGTGCTGTTTTTGTAATCTAGAAAATAGGGGTGTATTGTAAAATTATTTTATAGATATAGGAAGATGTGGTATGAGTGCCAATGAGACAACTCTCCATCAAAGTAACAATTAATAAAAGTAAACCATTATAGGTCAAAGTATGGCTTCCAACACGGAGCTTTGGCTCACACTGAACAGCAAGCTATCAAAACTGTCCCTGAAATCATAGATATTACTGTAAAGGTTGTGTAATTTAAGAACTTATCGGATTGGAATAAATAGCGATAAGGTGTATTGGATGTTTGTACATGTATTTTTTGTAATCTAGAAAATAGGGGTGTATTGTAAAATTATTTTATAGATATAGGAAGATGTGGTATGAGTGCCAATGAGACAACTCTCCATCAAAGTAACAATTAATAAAAGTAAACCATTATAGGTCAAAGTATGGCTTCCAACACGGAGCTTTGGCTCACACTGAACAGCAAGCTATCAAAACTGTCCCTGAAATCATAGATATTACTGTAAACAGCAATCTAATTAATACACAGAGCATATTTTAAAACATATTGTTTGTTACATATATGACACATGCCAATGTTGTGGTGGTCTGATAGTAGGGGTACACGTTTTAGAAAATGCATGTAGACCAGTAACTGTTTCATACATGTATCTGACCTGTAGACTAATCCCTGTGGTTTACACAGCTATGCAAATTGTGATAGCATGCAGGACGATGCTGTAATATTCTGATAGGAGGAAAGTTTTAATACATAGGACAAATCATAAAAATTTATCTGCGAAGGATATACACACTAAAACGATCGAGAATTATAATTAGAATTATGTACAAATTTTTGTTAGACGACCGGTGGTGAATCACTTGAGATCCCTTGTAAGGTGAGCAGCTTCAAACTTTACTTACCAAAACATTTACATAAATCTGTGACAATAAGTAGAAAGCTTAATCCACAATCCCATTGAACTTAATGTCAAAGCATTGGATATTTCAATTCAAAATTTCGCTTTGTTTTCTAATGAACTATTCAAATTTCAGGAGACCATTTTGCTTTTGAATTTGCTATTGTCTAACCCGCCCGCTAAAAATTGGAACAATAAAAAACGTATTCTTTTGAATATGAACCAAAAAATAAAACGGGAGCATAAGTAAAAAAATGAAACAATCAAAATTTTCTTCACGAAAAGGATGAATTAAATTAAGAAATGAAATGAAATGTAAAATAATGATTGAAATATATGCGGGAGGTCAACAGAACAGCTGAATATCCGGTTAAATGAGACTTCCGGTGCATATTGCAAAGCTGTCTGCAAACTACAACTAAGGGTACACATTTTGAGCTGAAAAAGAAAGCTGAAAATAGAATATCCTCATATCAAGGTTAAAGATATTAAAAGGATATATTAAAACGAAAAAAAAATCGGTCTTATTAAGTGTTGTCATCCTAACATTCACGACTTATACTGTTCTAGTCACAAGGCCAACCTGGGAGTATTATAAATTAGAATTTTTAGATATTTTACACAGACAGAACAAGTTGGCAGCTATATTTATTCATTAAACGATGTGACAAAAATCAGTCCTAAGATGGGACGAAGTCCTCTATAACAGTTAAAAAATCATTAAAAACGAAAAATCATATACTAATGAACTCAAAATCATTAACTTTATTTTCCTTGCAGATTACCACAGGCACTTGTTTCTATCCATGGGAAGGTCGACTATCTATATATAACATTTTTCTATCCATGGGAAGGTCAACAATATATATATATATATAACATCAAGGGTCCGGAAACGGTCATATTTGCCAGTCATGTCCTAAGATGAAAGCTATATGTCCTAAACGAGTAATTGGGATTTAGGACAAATTTTATTTTTTAACAGAAATAATTTCGGTCATTTCATTGACTTAATGTTTGAAATCGGGTTTCTTAATCACCATTTTCCACTTGTGATCACTTGTTTTTGTTTATAATCCCTTTCCTGTAATAAAACTGCCACTCCAGTGGTTTGATAATCCTGAGGGCCCTCCTAATATCTATGTCAATGCCTCCAGGGAAACATTGGTTAATGATCGCTTATCACTTTTTACCTGTGGTTTAAATTCACAACTGACAATTGGTCACATTGATCACAAGCTCAGAATAATATCTTTAAGAAATCAAAATTCCCTGACAAGTGTATTCATTATTTAATTACTTTCAGCAAAGACAATTATCAATTCTGATTTAAAAATAAACCTTACTTTAATTGACGTAGAAAAAAGTATTTTTTCATGAGTAACACATGTCCTTTATTTACTATGTAATACGCATGCGTGAAATTGTCTTCAGAAATTAAATATTTAATCGTAAAATGCAAATTGATTTCATGCTAAAATAAACGAGTGCAACTATAATCTGTTATATTCAAACACTTTTAAAGGTAGTAAAATAGAAAGAAGCTGGTGATTTCCTGTCAATTTGATAAACAACGAATCCCGGAAATGAATCCAGAATTATTCGTACTTTAATATTATCGCAAAACTTCCGGTTTTAATTTTGTCAAATCGAAAGAAACGTAAGCAATGTCTGAGAAATTAACCATTTTGAGTCATTAAAATCATTTCAATTTTAAACTGTTGCCTTCCTTAAACTGTTCTTGGAGGTTTTTAGAAAAATAGTAAGAAATTTACTTAGAAAATGCGATGAAACATCAATACAAGTTAGTTGATGCTACAAATCTAGTCGATAAGAATAAAGCAGCTAACAGAACACCCCTTGTACTCACTTACCATCCTGATTTTAAAAATGTGTCTTCCATTGTTCAGAAGCATTGGAAAATTATAGAAAATGATTCAAATCTTAAAAAAGTATTTTCCTCGCCACCAGTCATGGCCTTCAGAAGACCTAAAAACATCCGTCACAAATTAGTGACATCTGTATTAGCAAAGCAGCCTACTCCATCTCCCGGTTGCTACAAACAATGTGGTCGAAGGAACTGCTTGTGTTGTAAAGCTGCCAATACAAGCAGTTCTTTCATCAGCTCCGTTACTAAACAAAATTATACCATCTACTCAAATTCCAACTGTAAAACGGAGAACTCAATTTATATATTAACATGTGACACTTGTGGCATTCAGTATGTGGGAGAAACAATGGACAAATTTAATATTCGGCTCAATAACCATCGTTCATGGTACAAAACCAACAAAAACTGTCCTCTCACAAGACATCTTCGTTCACTGAAACATTCTTTTGATAATGTTACTTTCCAAATCATAGAAGTCAACACTGAGTGGGACACAACGTTGAGAAGGAGAAGAGAAAATTTTTAGATCCACCAACTTCACACTTTAGAACCTGATGGTCTTAACGAAAAAGATGAGAAAAGATACAGGAAAGATAAAGAACAATTTAGTACACAGCATCGTCCTTTTTATCCTGTAATATTGGCCAATGGACGTTGCTAACTTCAACTACCAATTTTGTAAAAATCTTGAACTTCATCCAAATTATGTATTATTATCAAGGCAGCTAAATTCAAATGCAACATATACATTGAGCTGCAAAAGTTTCTTATCATCTACATCCGATTTCACCTGGATAGATGCACGCTTGATAAAGCTAGTTAGTCTAGCGAAATATTGCGTTTATTTTCATCATTTTGTAAATATTTTAAACATTCTTATATTTACATACTAAATAGTGTGTTAAAATTACATTGTTAGGCAATCTATATATATATATATATATAAATATATTTAGATCACTCTACCAAGAAATTTGTTTTGCATGCACACATATAAAAATTGTGATTTTTATCCAACGCAATCATAGGTTTGAACGTTGTTTTCAATTTAGACTTATATATATATAAAAGAAGATGTGGTATGATTGCGAATGAGACAACTCTCCACAAGAGACCAAATGACACAGAAATTATCAACTATAGGTCACCATATGGCCTTCAACAATGAGCAAAGCCCGTACCGCATAGTCAGCTATAAGAGGCCCATAAGTGACAAATGTAAAACAATTAAAACGAGAAAACTAACAGCCTAACTAATGTACAAAATAATGAACAAAAAACATATATGTTACACAGCAACAAACAACAACCACTGAATTACAGGCTCCTGACTTGGGACAGGCACATACAGAATGTGGCGGGGTTAAACTCATTTGAAGGCGCAAACCCTCCCCTAACCTGGGACAGTGGTGTAACAGTACAACATAAGAACAAACTATAAAAATCAGTTGAAAAAGGCTTAACTCATCAGATGAAAACAAATAGAAATACATCTAACAAAAACACAGTGGATGTGGACGGGTTCTTATACATCACCACAAAATATATTAAAAAATTATCAAGAAACTAACAAGAAATAATTACTTGTAGAATAAGACCAAAAGATAATTAAATTACAAGACTCTAAAAATTAACCAACATCACTTTGTTTGATTTTTAATGAAGTAAGGTTGTGTCCAGTGGCAAAAAAATCATGCATATTGAGAATGACCTTTAACCTGAAAAATCAGACAATTCCTTTATTCAGCATTGCCCATGTTTGATTGTTGCTTGATAAATTGCAAAATTGGCAAATATGTCAGGCAAATTCAGGATAAGAACCAATTTTAAATAAATTAAATAGTTTGGGGTTAATTGTCCCAAATATGTAGGAATTAGGGGCCAAAAAGAAGCATTTTTCTAGTTTTGAGACAATAACTTGTGTTTAAGTGTATGGATCTCTCTGAAATTATACTACAAGATTCCATACTACAAAGGAAAGGCTGGGATTGAGTTTTGGGGTTATTGCTCCAAGGGGGGTTTCAATAAGTTGGGGGGGGGGGGGGGGATTTTTTGTTTACAATTTTTTTAAAGGATTCATATTTTTTTCAAAATTTTTTAAATTTTGAATTTTTGAAAAAAGTTTCAAGAAGAAATCTTCAATTGCACAGTATTGCGCAATAGATTTGTGTAAGATCTTTGACCACATTTATTTTGTGTCAGAAACCTATATTATGTCAAAAATTTGATCACAATCCAAATTCAGACAGTATCAAGCTTGAATATTGTTTCCAAATTTGCCCCAACTGTTCAGGGTTCGACCTCTGCCGTCATATCAGGCTGCGCTCAGCGAAGTATTTTATTATTGCTTGTTCTTCATCTCAAAGTCACATGTAAATTCAAAAAGGATTATGTTTGCATTTATGTGGGCAAAGGGCTTTATTTATAATTGAAATTATAACTTATGATTGTACAAAAAATGTATTTATGTTCTCTCTTCTACAGATAAATGGCACCACCAGAACCCAAAGAATTCCTGCCAGGAGTACCAGATTGGAGTACAGTACACGAACCATCTGGAGATCTATTTCAGCCTATTACAGTTTGTGTCATAAGAACAACTAATAGCATTATAATTCATTATTGAATTCTTTTTAGCTCTTTCTGAATCCTGGATTAAAATGTATGCACATTGTCCTTTTCACTTGAAATCAACAATATTAGTCTGAGTTTAACATTACATGTACTGTAGGATATGTACAATACCCAAGATGCATGTGCATGTACATTAGAAATTGTTAAAAGTTGATATAATTTCCACTTTGATTATATCTATATGCATAACTGTTATGTCACAAATAAAGGAATATACAGTCAGTTACTGTATACATTTGAAATGTATTAAGTCTGTATAGTTAAACTTAATATTATACTACTACTACTCTAAATAATGTATACTGTTAATTTATAAATAACACTACCCCCCTTTTTTACACAATTGTAGTGTACTGTATTAGAATACACAGTAATAAACTATTGAATCTGAATCTATATATGCTATTGATGAAACCAGATGTGGGTTTATGTGAAACATCAACTTGCACAATTTCCTATATTTTAATTACCTGCAATTGTCAACAATCCTCCCAATTTCTGTGTACTGTATAAATACATATACAACTACATTGAGATTTACTTCTAGTATGTAGTTCTTTTCATTTTGTTAATTGAGAATAAAATAGACAAATTTACAAGAAATGAATGCAAAGTTGCAGAAGTAAACATATTTCTCTATATTTTGATTGCATGATTATTTATTAAATACGTTTTATTACTTCAACAGAAAATTTTGAGATTAATGCTGTTTACTATTTTTATAGGATAAAGATGATTGGAATACATTTATGTGGACAGAAGAACAAATCAATAAATTTTGGACAGATGGTGTAGTAACAAATGTACCACTTCTATCAGAGGAACAATGCAATAGAATTATAAATGATTATAAATATTTCACTGTAAGTATGAAGGGAGTACCGTAATCAAGTATTGTCTCATCATTAATTTGGAGGTGGTCAAATAACAAATCAAAACATCAATGTAAGTAATTACACAATTCTTTACTATCTAAGTAAATATGAATATTTACACAAGAAAGGCAGAAAATATTTATGGACAGGAATACTTGGAACAAATAAAAACACATAAACGTATCACAATTTGTTAACTTTTACAGAATGTCATAAATATTTTGTTAAACATTTTGAAAGCATAAACTACAATACAAATGTAATTGACAGTAGGTTAAATGTCACAAAATCTTAAATCGAGTTTCACTGAATTTCAAATAGCAATATGGACTATAACTTGTTACATGTTGTTTTGATTTTGTTGTCAAGCCTGCGACTTTAGCTCAACATAGGGATAATGATCCAGTGGCTGCGTTAACTAACTACTTAAAAGCTTAATGTTTCAGAAGTTAGAAGACTTGGATGCTTCATGCTTTGTATATAGATACCTTATGTTATGAAGTTTCCATCTGTCATATGTCCTTTGTCCTTGACCTCATTTTCATGGTTCAGTGACTACTTAAAAAAAAAGTTAAGATTTTTTGTAATGTTAATTTCTCTCTTATTATGAGTAATAGGATAACTATATTTGGTGTGTGCATACCTTGCACAGTCCTCATGCCTGTCAGACAGTTTTCACTTGACCTCAACCTCATTTTTAGGATCAGTGAACAAGGTTAAGTTTTGGTGGTCAAGTCCATATCTCAGATACTATAAGCAAAAGGTCTACTATATTTGGTGTATAGAATGATTGTAAGGTGTACATGTCCAACTGGCAGGTGTCATCTGACCTTGACCTAAATTTCATGGTTCAGTGGTTAAAGTTAAGTTTTTGTGTTTTGGTCTATTTTTCTAATACTGTATGCAATAGGTCAGCTTTATTTGGTGTATGGAAACATTTTATGATGTACATGTCAGTTTGACAGGTTTTATTTGACCTTGGCCTCATTTTCACAGTTCATTGCTCAATGTGAAGTTTTTGTGTATTGGTCTGTTTTTCTAAAAACTATAAGCAATAGGTCAACTATGTTTGGTGTATGGAATGATTGTGAAGTGTACATGTCTGTCTGGCAGGGTTCATCTGACCTTTACCTCATATTCATGGTTCATTGGTCAATATAATGTTTTCATGGTTTGGTCTGTTTCTTGTATACTATAAGCAATAGGTCAACTTTATTCAATGATTGTACGGTGTACATGTATTTCTGGCTTGGTTTATTTGACCATGATCTCATTTTGTTGGATAATGTTAATGTGATACTTGTAGTAAAACTTTATATTTAGGGCTATCAACATAAAATCAATGAAAGTAGGTGAGACATTTCAGCATGTGCACTCTTGTTTTCATTGTCCTATGCATGGCTTATCCTGAATATGCTGGAAGTAATTGCCAGTGGGCGTTAATCAAGCTATTATCAATCCTATGGATGGTTACATTGGCATGCTGTCAATCAGAAGATGATATTCATTACTAATCCATAATTTTTTTCAATGCAGTACAATCATAAAGCATTTGTTCTTATCAGTTCTATCTGTTTTATGTCTCCCCAATTCCAGGAGGAAATATATTGCTTCTTGTTTTTTTTCTGCTGATCATAATATTATGTCAAGTTTATAGGAATTTTGTTTCTAAGGTAACTGATTTGATAGGCTGCAAAATCCTGTGAAATTTTTCTTTTGAATGGGTTGAAACTGGCAGAATTGTTTAATATAAATGATGTCGAGTGGCATCCCAATCAGTTGATTTTTTTGCTGAGTTATAGACAATTGTAACATTGGAAATCTCCCTTTAATCGTGTAAATGAAAACAATATTTTCTACATTTTTTATTGGAATAAAATGAAACTTTGCAGAGTTGCTTCGCAATATTTAATATCTTGCACATCAGAGAATGTAGTACCAAGGCATGTAAACAATAGAAAACTTGGTAGACATATATTTTTATGTAAACAAAACGATTTAATTTTATTAGATATTTGTTTCAATATTATATGATTGAACAGGAACTTTGGCCTGGTTTTTATTAATTTTATTACACAATCTTCAGACATATATATATATTTCAGGGTGAAGTAGAGCATCCTGGGATGGGAATGATGTATGAGTACCATTCTAACCAGAGTGGAGATCCTAACAATGTCCTCATACATTGTCTTGGACATTGGAGATTGACATCATTATTTCATGACTTGCCATTTCTTCCTCAAGTTGTGGTGAGTGGTCATTTTCGGCAAACTCAGTTGTCATACCAACAATATTTACATGATTTATGCTACAGTTTAATCAGTTTTTAGCTCAACATACGAAATTTCCCCTGATGTTAACATCCTAGATTTGTTTTAACTGAGTTAATTTTCCAGTCTTTCATACATTGTACAGTAGAAATATATCATGTATTTACAGGGCAAGACAGTAATATGTGTTACTAAGAATTGAAAGAACTTAAAAGTTTAAAAAAAGACAACAAAACAAACAAATCAATAATCAGGTCTCGCACACTCCTTCAGAATCATATGGAGAAGTGACCGCTCTTTTTGAAACTGATGGAAGAAGTGGGGAGACTTAAAAGAGAAGTGCTTGTTCATTTATGGGGCTATAATGTTTATAAATCAATAATTGGAAGCAATGAAATTACATTAATATTTATATGTGTAACTAAGGGAATCTAACAAAATGTCCATGGAACTTTTAAGATCATTCATAAATTAGGAATAGATTAATGGAGGAGGTGTGCAGTACAGGCAGCAAGGAGTCTATAATTTTTCATATTTTAACTTCTTATTTAAACACATTTAAGGTGCCTGCATCTCAATTGTTATTACCTGATAAACAAACAGCTGTGAGATTTTGGCATGATCAGTTATTTGCTAAGCCTGCTAAACATGGAGGTGTAGTTGCATGGTAAAATTTTATTTGAAAATCCTTCACCTGTTATACCTGTAGCACACGCTAGTCAATTGTACTCTCATACCCAGTATCCTTAAATGCAAAACAAACATATAAAGATATGAATACCATATATACCCCGTTGCCATTCTAAAGTTATATTTAATTGCATTTTGTACAGGTGAATATTTCATGTTTGGAAGGGGACTAGAGACAGTTGGTTTTATCAGATTTTCTGTAAATTTATAACACAAAATCAGTTCCAAGTTAAATTGTCTTATGTATATAGTACATGTAGCACCAAATTTTAATGTAAAGGAAATTTGATAATCAACTTATGAATTATTTTTTTGTTTGGTTTTCATGCTCAGAGCTTAAGTTAAATGCAAGTTAACTATATAAATTGACTCTAATTGTCCTGCATATTTGTTTTTTGAAGGAAAAATAAATACTTTTCAGAGCAAACAAATCATTGTAACTACCGATAAAAGCTTTTTGACTTTTCGTGAGATTATGCAGCCTAAATCTCTCATCATGGTACACTGAATATAAAGTGATTTTATTGTTCAGTATTAAGTTTTGTGATCAGATAAGTTGTTAATTTACTTTTAAAGTGCTATCCACTCTCATATGACAATAAATCATGGCCGTTTTTGTTTAAAATAAAAAAAATTATAGATTGTTTGGCTTTTATAAAAAAAAATTAACTGCGATTAAATGCAAAATTTATGCAAAATAATTAAATGGCAAAATTATGCAAAATCTCAACCATTTAATTAAAACATGGTGAGAAATGATATAGAGCAAACCTTTGCCCAAAGTGATATTTATAATGGAAATACATTTTGTTATGATTTTCTTACTGGCTAAAGTTTTCATTTCATTTTGTTTTGGAAGTGAGTGTTTTTTGTTAATTTAGCCATTATGTTCTAGAGATTGGTCTTTTTTGCTAAGATTCGGAAAATATCCTCTATGGTGATGTCAAAATCAATACACCTTATCGCTATTTGTCCGCCATTACTGGACATCACAAAAGTTCCCGTAAAATTTTGACGTCATAATAGAAAATATCTGACGCCACAATGGAAAAGTGATTGTTGTATGACGTCAAAAGTTCAAGCGGGACAGATTCTCGGGTCAAGCGGGAATAGCGATAAGGTGTATTGTATCATCAAGCTTCAGCTAGTGCTTACGTTTTCTTTTTAGTCAGCATTATAAAGTATGGTGTAACACTTTTCTTTTTAATTTTTCAAGGGTTTTTCACTGACCATTGATTGCAAAGTGTTCAGGATTTTTCCATCAAAATTCTTTAATTTACTACAAATTTTTGTTGCACTAATTAAAAGTGAATTTTTGGACAATCATTTTTATACGACCGCAAAAATTTTTTGCAGTCGTATATTGTATGATGTTGGCGTCCTCGTCGTCGTCCGCAGACACATTGGTTTTCGCACAATAAGTTTTAGTTTAAGTGATTGGATCTCTATGAAATTTAACCATAAGGTTCAATATCACAAAAGGAAGGTTGGGATTAATTTTGGGGGTTATGGTACCAACAGTTAAGGAATCAGGGGCCAAAAAAAGGGCCCAAATAAGCATTTTTCTAGTTTCCATACAATAACTTGTGGAACGGTGTATGAATCTCTCTGAAAAGAGGGACGAAAGATACCAGAGGGACAGTCAAACTCATAGATCGAAAACAAACTGACAATGCCATGGCCAAAAATAAAAAGACAAACAGACAAATAATAGTACAGATGACACAACATAGAAAAGTAAAGACTAAGCAACACAAACCCCACCAAAAACTGGGGGTGATCTCAGGTGCTCCGGAAGGGTAAGCAGATCCTGCTCTACATGTGGCACCCGTCGTGTTGCTTATGTTATTACAAATCCGGTAAATAGTCTAATTCGGTAAGTCACATTCGTGAAAAGGGAAGGGTATTGTAGTTACGACATTAAGAACATATCCGATATCATCTGTGAAACGGTTATTCCATAACGGTCAACCAACTCGTGATGGCGTCCGTAAAATTTACGAAGGGACGATTTCAACTTCACCATTTGGAACTGAAATTATACCACAAGTTTCCATACCACAAAGGGATGGTAAGAATTGGCTTTGGGGGGTTATGGCTCAAACCGTTTAGGAATTAGGGGCAAAAAAGGGGGAAAAACAAGGGTTTCCTGGTTAATGGACAATTTAAAAGCAGTGTAAGGGAGGTAATGCAAAAACAAAATTGTACAATGTTGGATTACCTCCCTTACACTGCTTTTAAATTATCTATTTAAGACTTTTATGATGTATTTAAATGGGTAATTATGGTCGCAAACTCATTTGGTAATTTGAATTGAGATTATGACCATATCTTGAGGGAAAGAATTTTTTTTTTGAAAAAGGAAGGGGGGGGGGGGGGGGGGGGCGCATTTTTTTTCAGATTTCAGAAATTAAACAAAATTTCTTCACATATTTTTTCTTTTGCAAAAACAGTGTAAGGGGGATATTTTTCATGCCCCCGCCATAGCGGTGGGGGCATTAAGTTTTACCCTTGTCCGTCTGTACGTAAGTCCCAAAATTGGTTTCCGTTCTCTAACTTGAGTTTGCCTCAACCAAATGTTATGAAACTTATACACAATGCTTATTACCACAAAACACAGATCAAGTTTGAATTTTGGTGGCGTCACTTTAACCGTTCTAGAGTTATGCCCCTTTATAAATGGAAAAATTGCAAAATTTTTAGTTTCCATTCTCTAACTTAAGTTTGCCTCAACCAAATGTTATGAAACTTATACACAATGCTTATTACCACAAAACACAGATCAAATTTGATTTTTGGTGGCGTCACTTTAACCGTTCTAGAGTTATGCCCTTTTATAAGTGGAAAAATTGCAAAATTTTTATTTTCTTAATATCAAGTAATTTTTAAAATTGGAGTTATCTTCCTTTGTCCGTGATTATAGTTGAATCAACTACAATCAATGCTTTATACAATGCAATGTTTAATATTGACTTCCACTGATAAAACACAGATTAAGTTGAATTTGGGTAGTGTCACTTTAACCATTATTGAGTTATGCCCCTTTATAAATAGAAAGATTGCAAAATTTTTAGTTTCCATTCTGTAACTTAAGTTTGCCCCAACCAAACATTATGAAACCTATACACAATATTCATTACCACAAAACTAAGATCAAGTACAAATTTTTTTATTCCGTTTTCTAACTAGTTTGCCTCAACCAAATGTTATGAAACTTATACACAATGCTTATTACTACATAATACAGATTAAGTATGAAATTTGGTGAGAACACTTCTACCATTCTTGAGTTATGTCCCTTTATAAACATAAAAATTGCTGAATTTTCCGTTTCCGTTCTCTAACTTTAGTTTGTCTCAAACAAATGTTATAAAACTTATACACAACCGTTCTAGAGTTATGCGTGTTTACAAATAGAAAAATTGCTGAATTTTTAGTTTCTGTTCTCTACTTAAGTTAGCCTCAACCAAATGTTATGAGACTTACACACAATGCTTATTACCACAAAACTCAGATCAAGTTCAAATTTGGGAAGCGTCACTTTTACCGTTCTTCAGTTATGTCCCTTTATAACTATATGATATGCAAGCGGGGGCATCATCTGTGTCCACATGTGGACACTATCCACATTTATTTTTTTATTTTTTTCGTGTATTGCACAAAAGCAAAAAAAAAATGGGTTAATTTTTATTTATTTTTGGGGGGGGGTCAATTCGCACAGGCACAGTGTATTGCTCAAAAGCAAAAATTTGAATATAAATTTAAATCATATAACCAATTCTAAGTTCTTTGACTACAGTTATTCTGTGTCAGAAACCTATTATGTGTCAAATATTTAATTACAATCCAAATTCAGACCTGTATCAAGCGCGAATATTATGTCCATTTTTGCCCCAACTGTTCAGGGTTGGACCTCTGCGGTTGTATCCAGCTACGCCCCAAGAAGCAATTTATTTGGACATAAAAGGGTATTACAAGATATATAATATATCAAGGGCAAGTGCATCTGTGTTAGATAAATTTAAGTAGAATATCCATATATTATGTATTGAAGATAAAATCAGATAATTCATGTTTAAAAGTTGTCAAAAATTACTTATCTATCTAATCTTTATTTACTGATTCATTTTGCAAGGTACACAGTATAGAATACATTATTTACAAAATAAGATTATTAATGTATTTGTACTATTTGCCAAAAAAATTACTTAGTTATACATGATTATGATAATGAACCCATCTTTAAGCTCTTTGATAAATGATTATGAGAATGAACCCATCTTTAAATTCCCTGATTTCTATATAAGGTAGATTATATTACTTGTTATCAAATTAAATAGGATTAAATGACTGCTTTTATATTGCATGATAAAAAATTAACATGACAATTAGGATGTTATGTAACTGTGTTTTGAGAATGGTTATGATCAAATTGATTTATATCCGAAGTGTTTGAATTGTAGGAAAAAAGAAATTACATAAAGTTTCAGTATTCTTTTCAAAATCATCATCTTAATTTATGGTTTATATTTGGTTGAAGAAACATGCAACATAACATGTTATTATGTCAGCAAAGTTTGGTTTTATGGTGCTCAGTTTATTTATTTGACACCAATCAGTACTAAGGCCAAAACAATATAGTTGTGTTTCCTGCCTTCCTACCTACTCTAAATTTTCCTGCCTATCCTTACATATTTTAAGTCCAGGACATTTCCCCAAGATAGTCTATGAAAATTAATTTTAGATAAATTCATTTTACCTACCTACCCTATTTATCTGCCAGGAGGTAGGAAACAATTATATTTTTATTTTGGCCTTATGATCAGCAACTAAGCTTCGTGCATTTAAGTTGGAGGAGTAGTAAACATAGTTAGGATAAAAAAAAAGATAGAATTTTTTTATTCTTTGCCAGAATGTAGTATATGTTGTGATATATAATAAAATGATAGGTCAAAGTTTGTTTTCAAGCTACAGGTTGTGAAAAAATAGCACACTTTGTATGGATTTTACATAGAAAATAGAAGGTAAACTAAATGATAGAATGTTGAAATAAAATATGAGAAGATAGTTATTTAAAAGCTTTCAGATTATCAAAAGAAAAAACAGGAATACCGTGTGTTTTTTCCTGCTATAAAATAAAATAGAAATATTTCCTGAAGATTCTTTTATTAATTATACTATTTCTTAGTTACTTCCCCTTAATATGCTAAGTTGGAAAAAAATTAAATCAAGCACAAAAATTCTACCATTGTAAAAATATAAGTTATTTTAACATAAAATCACACAAATTTGTTCATTTAAGTGATCATTCTTATTAGTAAATTGTATTCCTGCATCAAAATTTGCGAACTTGATTAAAAATCTAGAACTATTGTGTTCTGCTATTTTACAATCTAATATGGCATATGACTCCCCCATACCACCTAAATATATATTTCATCCATACAATAGGAATAAAGATAAAAAAAAATAGGAATCCTACATTCAGTCTTCATGAATATACATTTGTTAACTCAGTTGGATTCATTCCAACATATCCTTATCAAATATTAGATAGTAAAATATACCGGTAATGAAATCTTATTGGAAATCAGTTTATGTCTCCCTGAAACTGCTATGCCAATTAGAACAAAACTTGGCAGATACAATGTTTGTAGTAACTGTAAAGGAAAAATAGTCAGTAAAAGCCAGACAACAGAGTTTCTGATAAGGTATTGACTGAAATATCAAAAATTTGTTAAAAGAAAACATAAACTGAATAGGTTTAATTTCATGCTCTATGAGTTACTCACAAGAACAGTTCAACACTATGTGGTATATATTTTATTTTAGGCACCAAGACTATTCTTATTGGATCAGAACCAGACCAATGATGCACCTTACTGTAAGTGGATTCCTAAGAATTGTCCTGCATACTCAGATAATATATTTTTTGTTTGAACCTGCAACATTTATGTCGCCAAAGTGAGACATAGCGATCATAGATGTCTGCGGCAACGTCAACATTTGGGTTCAGTCTTTGGTTAAATTTTTTATAATAATTTTATCAAACTTTTATGGAATTTTATGAAATTTGGACAGAAGCTTGTTTATGACTGAAATTCAGAGCAAAATTTTTGAAAATATTTCTGCATTTTACTGATAAATGGACTTAGTTTTTTTAAACGTCTGCAAATTTTTGCATTCATATTATGCTATGGCGATGTCTGACTCGTCGTCCCAGGAAATTTTGGTTCGCAGACAATAACTTGAGTAAAAGTGTATGGATCTCTATGAAATTTTAGCCCAAGGTTCCATACCACAATAGGAAGTTTGGGATTGATTTTGGGGGTTATTGTCACAGCTGTTTAGTAATTAAGGGCCATAAAGAGGCCAAAAACAAGCATTTTCCTTGTCCATCGAAGACATTTTGGTTCACAGACAATAATTTGAGTGCAAGTGTACGGATCTCTATGAAATTTAAGCACAATGTTCCATACTACAATTGGAAGGTTTGGATTGTTTTTTGAGGTTATTGTCATAACTGTTAAGTAATTAAGGGCCAAAATCAAGCATTTTACTGGTTCGCAGACAATAACTTGAGTAAAAGTGCATGGATCTCTATGAGATTTTAGCACAAGTTTCCTTACCACAATAGGAAGGTTCAGATTTATTTTGGGGTAATTGTTGAGAAACGTTCTATTGTGCTAGGCTTTCAATGAAAATTTTTAAGATGCTATTCCAAATTGATTCTTTATGTCAAAAATTATCCTTCTACCAAATATTTTTGAAATGGCTGCCATAATACATTAAAAAATCATAGTCAGCTCAGATTTTATGAATCTTGATATTTACTTAGGACATATCCTGAATTTTTACCATGTTTCAAAATTCATAAAACTTGAAACCCTATTAATGTATGACTTTGTTTGTTTCAGAATTAATTATTTGTTTTATGTGCCTCACACAAAAATGTGCAAGGGTGGCCCTAGCTGACATTGTCATTATTTTTGCTATTTGGGGTAAAGATTGTATTCATGCAATCAAAACCCTTATGTAACTGGCTTTGATAGTTGTCATTTTTCCAGACTTTATCACTGCTTTTTAGATTAAAAAAAAACAAAAAAACATCTAGCACAACATTTTATTATTCCTATCCATGAGCATTTCAAGAAAATTATCAATGAAATTTATACTCAGATATTCAAGGTACAAAACAATGTGTATGTGCATAACCATACTTCTCAAAAAAATTACATTAATTGTGCATGGTGCATGAATATCAGTTCTGAAATTATCAATGATTGTAAAAACCAATAATTAAAATTGGAGTTATCTTCCTTTGTCCATATTTATAGTTCAACCAACTTCAATTATGAAAAAAGTAAGATATCTCCAATTCATAGTATTGCCTTTCAATGCTAAATACAATGCAATGTTTTATTTTTAGTTCCCACCGCAAAAAAAATACAATCTATACCCTTCAGGGCACACAATGCATTTCAAAGATTAAAATTTGTTTTTTTATCTTAAAACACTGCATTAAATAGAATTTGTTGTATCTGCAATGTATTGCACTTTTCTTGTTCTAGGAAAATTGAAATGAACACCTCCATATATCAGTATTAATATCCATATAGTAGGAAATTATTTATTTTGTAGGTACATGTTGCACTTGATGATCAGTCGGAAGAAAATGGAGGAATTTATTATATACCTAAATCACATAAGTAAGTTGTAGGGGCCTCGGTGGCCGAGTGGTCTAAGTAGTTACTACTGTAATCACTAGCCAGTCAACACTCGGGTTGTGAGTTAGAACACCGCTCGTGCGGGTGCACTCGACTCCGATCTTAATTGACTAGGATTGTCAGTTTTCCTATCAAAGGTCGGTGGTTTTCTCTGCGCACTCCGGCTTCCTCGACCAATAAAAACTGGCTGCCACAAAATAGCCCAAAATCGGTGCTTAAAAGTGTCGTTAAAACACCAAAAATCAAATCAAATCATACGTAAGTTGTTAAATACGGTTGCTTTTTATAAATTTTTTGTTGCCTCTAGTTTTAGATTTTTAATATTCTTAGAGAAGAATTCATGATAAAAGTAAATAAAAACCTCAATAACTTTAGCTGACATATGAGACATTCTTTTTCACAACAATAGTTGAAAAATGTAAAAGGGATTGCTAAATGATTGTCATTCTTCGTTCATTACTGATTCAAGATATAAAAGAATTATTGTGCTTTCTTTATATTTTTTATTAGGTGGACAAGAGATGGAGAACCACTGCCAGTATTAGATTTTAATTTTAAGGATATGGAGTCTATAAAGGTAACATAATATTTGAGCTATGAATGATGGAAGTAAAGGAAATAAATTCATAAAACCCACACCAAGAGAAAAAAAAGTCTAATATTTGATAATTTTCTTAAAATAAAAATAAGAGACTTCCACACATGTGAATAAACTTGAAAGTTACTTTAGAACTGTACATAAGTTTTGGTCCAAAATAATATTATTTGAAGACCAATCTAGAAGAGTCCAGAGACATGGGAACATTGTAGTAATATACAAGAACATTTGACCTTTATAGGCTACTTACGTTTGAACCAGAGATGCTAACCAAAATTTTGAAAATTATCACTGCAAAAATTCAGCCTACCATCAACATAAATGAACTTTAATAATATCTAGGCTTTAAGATACAGTGTTTTCCACAACCATTGGTCTCTTTAAGTTTAATCCAAAAAAAGAAACCTTATTGCAAATTTTATGCTCAGTAAAGAACAAATGTTCAACAAATAGCTGTAAATTAGACCAGGAGTTCATGAGAACAGTTTTATTTAAGAATAAATTACAGTCCTTAATATGAATGCCTTATTATTACAGACCATCTTAACAGAAGAAGAATTAAGCCAGTTTAAACCAGTATGTGCCAGATTAAAGAAAGGAGAAGCTAGTTTCCATCACCCCTTAACTGTACATGGATCCTATTCAAACAGGTCTGATAACAATTCTAAATATTTTGAAGCCCAAGTTCTTTTCAGGGATAATACAAAGAAAGACGTACAATTTGAACAGCCATAAAAATATATGTCAACCTAACTTAAATACTATCTCAATCAAAACCTCAATTTTAAACCACACTTTCAGAGAATTAGCAGTATGTATTGCTGATGGCGATGGTTCATAATTTTATTAATCATTATTTTTTTTACAAAACTTTGAATTCAGAAAGATGGTGAACTATACTTACAACTTTCTATATAGACATCCCTTACAAATACTCAAAGGGAGATAACCTATTACAATAGAATTATCTGCATAATTTCATTTATTTATATGTTTAAATAGTTCTGAACAGATAATTGAAGGGGCAGAATCAGTTAGGGGTACACACAATGGGGCCCCTAAATTGGACAATATACCCTTTTTGGTATAAAATAAGTCAAAATTTTAGCATGCACATGAAAAGGTCTTAGCAGTAGTACTACTAGTAGGCTGATGAAGTAGGAAAAAGGTGATCATGAAGTCCTGCCAAAATTGCATATCTTACATATAGATTCCTTATGGTCTGAGCTTTCTGTCTGGCATGTGTTGTTGTACTTTTAACATTTCAATGGTCAATAATAAGTTTTTTTGTAGGTCTGTTTCTCAGATACTATTTAGTAATGAGTCATCTGACCTTGACTCTTTGCATGGTACATTGGTAAAAATTAAGTTTTTGAGTTAAGTTCCTTTTCTCAGATGTTAAAAGTTATGAACCAATGTAAGGGGTGCATGTCCATTTGATAGTGTTTCATGTGACCGTGACATCATTTTCATGGATCTTTAGTTACGTTTAGTTTATTTGATACAGTAAGACCTTGATCTGAAAGACGTACCATTACTACATAGAATCACAAACGAAAAGTAGGCAAGATATTTCAGTGTGTTCACTGTTATTTAGCCTTTTTATGAAATTCAAAAGAATTTAAAGCATTTACAAAAAAAGCTTTCTCTGTAGGAGTGAAAGACCTCGTAGATCAGCTGTACTTAATTACTTTGGTGATGGGGTATATTCAGATTCAAATGAAGAACTTCTAAAAGGAAGTATGGTACCAAAGGTAAGACCAGTTGGACTGTTGTTGTATGATTTACTTTTGATGATATTGGTTAGTCCAGAAAAATAATTGACTGGGAAAGGGTTACAAAGTAATACAAAAAGAAAGTTTTCTAAATTGAGAAATATTTAACAAACTAACAAGTACTTTATTTGCCAATCTCGGTACCTAAAATGAGCAGAATAATTACAATCATAATTTTCAGATATAATACGAAAATAAAATAAAAATAGATTAAACAAAGTATAACTTGATTAATTTAGATCTAATTGATTAACATCTGATATTAAAGTAAATGAAATAAGTAATTTGAAATATATAGTATGACCCATTGTTTGTTACTCTGGACCCTTTACTGGACAGCACACCTGTCAACATGAAACTTTTCATTTAAATCATTTTTATTGTTCTCTAAAGGTCCATTTTGATTTTGATGCATTTTTACATTTGATTTACTTGGCTGTTTTTTTCATCTATAGAGTATCAGAAGAAAATTATTAAGAAAAAATGTGTTGTACACTGTAATGTAGCCATCTCAATTAAAAATATTAATTTCGGAACTACACATCAAAATTGACTGAGTTTCTCATATTTGAATTGTTTTACATTTATCATCAAGGGCCTTTTATAGCTTTTACTATTCTGTATGGGTTTGCTCATTGTTGAAGGTCGAAGGGGGACATACAGTTGCTAACTTCAACGTCATTTTGTCTCTGGTGGAAAGTTTGTCTTATTAGCAATCATACAACATCTAGTTATTTTCATACTATTTTGTAATAAAGTTAAAATCATTTCAGGGGCAGAAATTGGAGGGACAATTTTATCCTGTAGTGTTTGATCCAGCATGGATGAAGTGAGACATTACAGAGAAAGTAATAAAATAAGACATGTATGTGATTGACTGAATGGGATGTTTGTATAAATAAGTAATTGTACTTTATTGTTAATAATAACATCAAGTGATAATTGAATAAAAGATTTAAATATGAATAATTAGAATATTCCCTCAAATATTTCATGCACTGTTAATTTAAAGAATTTAATTTTCCCTAGAATGTTTAAGATTTGTTTAGTTGAAACATCATTGTGTTAGATACTAATTTAACAGAGTAAAAGTTTAGTTTTGATTCAAATGCATTATATTTAAACCAACAATTTCATTATTCTTTCTCCCACGTTTCTAATCTAGTCTGTAACCAATGAACCTCACTTGTCATGTCATGTGACAAACAAAATGGCACCATCTGTTTATATCTTTCTTCAATGTTGAATTTGCATGCAAACTGAAGTTTTCTAAGACAAACAGGACAAAGGAATAATGGATGTCTATCAGCTTCTTCCAAACTGTTTGATCCATTCATCAAACACTCGTAGAATACACAATGTCTTAATCCGAACATGTGTCCAATCTCATGACACATTGTCTTACAGATTCTTTTGATTATCATTGATTTTCCATCTTCTTCTCTGAAAAAATAAACACCCTACATTATCATATATTATAGGTTTTCAACAGTCTTCAATGAAAGTCAAGATACATTAATATATTTTTATTCATTGATAGTTTGGTGGTAAAAAACTATTAAAATCATTCCATTTGCTTAATTTCACTGTGTGAAAACTATGCAGTTGCGTAGAACATTGTCATGTTATATGACTTTTTCAACCTCCACATTGAGACAAAACTATCTCTGAACTCTCTTGTTGTGATAAAATATTCTTGACTTTAACACAACATGGGATTTTGGGTACAGTTGTGCAGCTGGGATTTAAAAAACACCCCCCATTCATATATTGAATAATTGTGAAATCCCTACCTATACATATATTTCACAGCGAAATCATAACCCATTCATATATTTATCAGCTCAAATAGTACATTTATGTGTCAATAAATTTCAGCAGATGTGGAAATTTTAATGACAAAGATTTTGGGAAATTCAGTGAAGATCGTTGCACAACAAACTGAAAAATTATGACCCATTGATATATCACAATTGGTCAATTACTACCTATTGATATATTTCCTCGGTAAAATTGCACCCCATTAATATATTTGACGTATCAAAAAGGGACCCATTCCAGCGGCACATATGTATATACCTTCATATAGGAAGAGACCCCCCCGTGCTTTTACATACAGCAATGAATCCTCATAAAATTAGTTTAACCATTCCATTTATTCATGCAAATTTCCTTATTCAACAACCTCCTTAGTTACAACTTTATATATATATATATATCATAAAGGAATTTTGTGTAGATAGCAAAACGTCAATACATGTAGTCACTAGAAATGATGATAAAGCCTTCACTGAGGAAATAAACAAACAACCCTACAGATTACACAATTTATTAATATTACATATGTTGCACTAAAATAAAGTGATTTTTTTGTGTATTTATTAAGATTTTGGGGTAACACAACATGAAGAATAAAAAGGTATACTATCCAAATGTTAATTGATTGGGAAGAGGTTCCAGTAGCTACATATTTATTTTTAATACTGTGTAACACTAAATAACAAGGGGGCAATATTAAACCTAAGCTGTGGAATAATGTTAGACAATGGTCCCTAAAATGTTAAACCTAAGCTGAGGAATAACATTCGACATTGGTCCCTAAAATGTTAAACCTAAGCTGAGGAATAATGTTAGACAATGGTCCCTAAATTGTTTAACTGAATTCTAAAGATAAAGCAACATTAACCCACTAAAAAGCAGAGGTGAAGTCACGTTTTATTACAACTTCAAGTACACACTTACATTTCAATTACACTAAATTGATAGCTTTGTTTTACAAATACTGGGCATGATATTTACCTTTCTTTTTCATAAACTGATGTCTCAGTCTTTCCAAAATTACTGAGATAGCGAGCTATTGAACACACACCACATTTTCCTGATAAAACTGCATGTCCAAAGAGATTAGATGATGTTTCATGGTATAAATCACACATTGTAATTCCCACGGCACAGAATGCATCACTTGGCACCAATGGGTTCATAATGTCAACAATGCTATGAGCATCTGCCTGATACACTTCATCTATTCTATTGGTAACCTCGGCACTTAAATTCTTTCTTTTCATAGTCTTCACTGGGAGTTGAAAGAAAATTTCTGCGAATGTTTTTAGAGGGCCTAGAATTTCCTTAGGCACATGTTCTTCTGCAAAGAATATCGGGAAAATATATATTGTTCTAAATCTTCCAAATGGCATTGCAATACCACACTGGAGCCACTGTATAAATGATTGACTTGGTTCTTTGTTCTTTGCCAACCAATCATCTTTTCTGCCTTTTTTCTTCTTTTCAAACCACGTAGAGTCTGGGAGATGTAAATTACATTATTATATTAGAAGTGGAGGGCTCTAGGAAGGGGATATGGGTGAATAATATCTTTCTTTCTATTTTTCATTCTTCTCTCTTCCCTCTACTACTTCACTTCTTCGATCCCATCTTTTCCAGTTTCACTGTCTTTAGTTATTTTTGAAATCACAATTAAAAACAGGAGGGGAGAAGTTAATGTCTTAGTTCATTTTAAAAAGGTTAACACTATAAGTATAGTATAAGATTATTCTATCATTGTTCTAGCTATTTTGGTTTCACTTTTAATAATTATCTTAGATTTTGATTTGAGGAGTAGTGCACTGCTTGAAACTTGTTGCAGAATGAAATTCCGAAGTCACATCTTGTGTTCATGCTTGTAAATGAAAAGAAGTTATTTATAAATTTGTCCATACAAAAGTCTTTTTTTTATTTAACTTCATCAGGAACTCTCAAACCCAAAAATTGGAAGCCAAGGATGAAAAAAAACTTTAGAATATTTATGAAGCTATATGACAAAAATGGATTTAAAGAATATCCAAACCTGTCTACGATTTACTTTTCCTCAAGATATTTATCAATGAAATATAGACACAGGTAGTCAAGTTACAAAATGAGGTGAACGTGTATAATCAAGAAAATAACTTGTATTGTGCATGGTGCATGAATCTTCTATGTTCTAAAAATATCATGGATGCCATTATTAATAAGACTAAAGTAATATTTAAAACTAGATTTTCCTTCATTTGTCCATTATTGCAGTTGAATCAACTACTATAAATTATATGGTTTGCTACTGACCCCCTACGGATCCATAGAGGGTTAGTAAAATCCATAGGGGATGAGGCCGAAGGCCGAATAACCTATGTATTTTACTCACCCTCTATGGTCCGTAGGGGGTCCGTAGTGAACCGTATAACGAATTTATCACGCAAGGGACTTTTCATGCAGCGTTTTGTAGAAAAAGAAACAATGAAAAACAACAAAATAAATAGATGATGTCACCATTAACAGTAGCGTGACGTTATGAACCCCCTATGAAATTTACTAACCCCCTACGGATCCATAGGGGGTCAGCACGTGACGGCATTAAACCAATCACAACGTCATAAATTTACCCACGTAGTGATAAATTATATGATGCATTGTTTGATTTTTAGCTCCCACTGCAAAATGAATACAATATTTAGCTTCCATTCAGTGCTAACAAACAGTGTCAATAAAAGTTATCATGTAAGAGTAAGATTTAGACAACCTATTATTTGGATGTATCACTTTTTGGTTTCGTTTCAAAGAAATGAACAACTTACATGGAATGAAATATTTTACAAAATCCAAGGGTAAATCTGCTCCTCTCTTTGGGTACTTATCTTTGTACTTCATAACATACACTACATCTTTGTACTTCAGACCATACTCTTCATTCGTAGAAGAACCCTAAAAAAGTTCAAGCCTTGATTAGACTTCTGTATGCATTGTTACTTGGTATGCTGTTATTTTTACAACAATATGTTTGTCTTTGTGTAAGTGGTATGATTTCAATAATACATGTGATATACATAATGCTTGTCATGGTACTATCAGGCAAAAGAGATTGCATATTTATTGCTCATCTGGTCAGGAAGGAGATGAGATCTATTTCTTACTCAAGTGTACAAAATGTCAATGCTATTTGTTTACATTGTCTTAATTTCACTGTAATATGTTGATTCATATAATATATGCAAAAAATATCTTTTTTAGTTCTGGCTAATTGTGGTTTACAGGAACATTTGACATACTCTAAATATTCTTAAATGATTTTGTAGTATTAAATCTCAGATTGTTTTATTGCAGTTAATTACAATTCCTCATGTAATTGTTGTAATGTGTAATTGAGATGTTTTTCAATACTTCAATCATACTTGGAAGAAGGTGTGTAATTACATTTCAATAACATCATTTAAAAAAATAAAATGCCTGAAAAAATCTATACAGGTATTTTAATCAAGATTAGTACAGATAGATTTTCTCTAATTGTAAAAAATCCATGAGAATAGCATTATTTATACGAATATGGCAATATCTGAACGTATTAATGTAATGTAAATATAATTTATTTCTGGTATAAAACTATTAACTTTACACAATGAACACATTATTGTCACTTCTATAATAATTTCTCCCTTGACTTTTTTATTCTCTGTCTATTCATTCCTTTTTATGCCCCACCTAGGGGCCTTATGTTTTTCAGTCTGTGGGTCCGTCCGTTTGTCCGTCTGTCCCGCTTCAGGTTAAAGTTTTTGGTGAAGGTAGTTTTTGATGAAGTTGAAGTCCAATCAACTTGAAACTTAGTACACATGTTCCCTATGATATGATCTTTCTAATTTTAATGCCAAATTAGAGGTTTGACCCCAATTTCACGGTCCACTGAACATAGAAAATGATAGTGCGAGTGGGGCATCCGTGTACTATGGACACATTCTTGTTAGAAAAAGAGGTGGAAGATATTATTTAAAGAAATGTGATGTCTGAACATCTTTTACCTTACAACTAAATATTCAGGATATTAATTAAGACCATCAAACCCAAAAGTAATCAGGTGGTGTAAATTACCATTGATTGCAAATCACTTGTTTTATAATTTGATTTGAGAATTGCCAAAACTTTTGTTCTTTGTTCCAATCTACTTGGATATTTTGCTACTGATATTCTATAAAAACAAGAAACATTAAAGCAAGATGTTTACACTAACTTGACTAAGTATGTAAGGGTTATATCATAGCAGTAATACTAGGTCAGGAGCCTGTTGTCCAGTAGTTGTCGTTTGTTGGTGTGGTTCATAAGTGTTTCTTGTTTCTCGTTTTTTATATAGATTAGACCGTTGGTTTGCCTGTTTGAATTGTTTTACATTAGTCATTTTGGGGCCCTTTATAGCTTGCTGTTTGGTGTGAGCCAAGGCTCTGTGTTGAAGGCAGTACTTTGACCTATAATTGTTTACTTTTTATACGACCGCAAAAAATTTTGTGGTCGTATATTGGTATGACGTTGGCGTCGTCGTCGTCGGCGTCGTCGGCCGAATACACATTGGTTTTCGCACTCTAACTTTAGTTTAAGTGAATGGATCTTTTTGAAATTTGACCATAAGGTTAAATACCACAAAAGGAAGGTTGGGATTGATTTTGGGGGTTATGGTACCAACAGTTAAGGAATTAGGGGCCAAAAAGGGGCCAAAAATAAGCATTTTCTAGTTTCCAGACAATAACTGTGGAACGGTGTATGGATCTCTCTGAAATTATACTACAAGTTTCCATACCACCAAGGATGGTTAGGATTTGCTTTGGGGGGTTATGGCTCAAACCGTTTAGGAATTAGGGGCAAAAAAGGGGGAAAAACAAGGTTGTCCTGGTTAATGGACAAATACTTTAGTACAAAACATAATTTAAAGCAGTGTAAGGGAGATAAATCAAATACATCATTGAAATTATCTCCCTTACACTGCTTTTAAATTATGTATAAAGTAATGGTTAATGAACAATAAAGATAATTTAAAACAGTGTAAGGGAGGTAATCCAAATACAACGTTTTGGTTACTTCCCTTACACTGCTTTTAAATTATGTTTAAAGAAATGCATATTTATAAAGGAAGACCAGTAAAAATATCTGCAAATGTTGCATCTTTTTTTTTTACAAAAAAATCCATATGAAAGATTTGACACTATATTTTTAATTCTATTATAAAATAGATTAAGTTAGCACTATGGTAAATTTAAATGGGTAATTATGGTTGCCAACTCCATTGGAAATTTGAATTGAGATTATGGCCATATCTTGAGGGAAAGAATTTTTGGGGTGGGAAAAAGGGGGGGGGGGATAAAAAGAAATTGTGGGGGGTCAATTTTTTCTCATTTCAGATTTCAGAAATTAAAAAGAATTATTCTTCAAATATTATTTTTTTTTCAAATTTCAAATATTGAAAAATTTCAAGAAGTAATCTTTAATTGCACAGTATGGCGCATTAGATTTGTAAAATCTTTGATCACATTTATTTATTTGTTATGCCGAATCTAACAGTGTATTTAGATTTTTAATTTTGGGTCCAGTTTTCAAATTGGTCTACATTAAGGTCCAAAGGGTCCAAAATTCAACTTTGTTCGATTTTAGCAAAAATTGAATATATGAGGTTCTTTGATATGCTGAATCTAAACGTGTATTTAGATTTTTATACGACCGCAAAAAAATTTTGTGGTCGTATATTGGTATGACGTTGGCGTCGTCGTCGTCGTCCGAATACATATTGGTTTTCGCACTCTAACTTTAGTTTAAGTGAATGGATCTTTTTGAAATTTGACCATAAGGTTAAATACCACAAAAGGAAGGTTGGGATTGATTTTGGGGGTTATGGTACCAACAGTTAAGGAATTAGAGGCCAAAAAGGGGCCAAAAATGAGCATTTTCTAGTTTCCAGACAATAACTGTGGAACGGTGTATGGATCTCTCTGAAATTATACTACAAGTTTCCATACCACAAAGGGATGGTTAGGATTTGCTTTGGGGGGTTATGGCTCAAACCGTTTAGGAATTAGGGGCAAAAAAGGGGGAAAAACAAGGTTGTCCTGGTTAATGGACAAATACTTTAGTACAAAACATAATTTAAAGCAGTGTAAGGGAGATAAATCAAATACATCATTGAAATTATCTCCCTTACACTGCTTTTAAATTATGTATAAAGTAATGGTTAATGAACAATAAAGATAATCTAAAACAGTGTAAGGGAGGTAATCCAAATACAACGTTTTGGTTACTTCCCTTACTCTGCTTTTAAATTATGTTTAAAGAAATGCATATTTATAAAGGAAGACCAGTAAAAATATCTGCAAATGTTTTCATCTTTTTTTTTTACAAAAAAATCCATATGAAAGATTTGACACTATATTTTTATTAATTCTATTATAAAATAGATTAAGTTAGCACTATGGTAAATTTAAATGGGTAATTATGGTTGCCAACTCCATTGGAAATTTGAATTGAGATTATGACCATATCTTGAGGGAAAGATTTTTTTGGGGGGAAAAAGGGGGGGGGGGATAAAAAGAAATTGTGGGGGGCCAATTTTTTCTCATTTCAGATTTCAGAAATTAAAAAGAATTATTCTTCAAACATTATTTTTTTTTCAAATTTCAAATATTGAAAAATTTCAAGAAGTAATCTTTAATTGCACAGTATGGCGCATTAGATTTGTAAAATCTTTGATCACATTTATTTATTTGTTATGCCGAATCTAACAGTGTATTTAGATTTTTAATTTTGGGTCCAGTTTTCAAATTGGTCTACATTAATGTCCAAAGGGTCCAAAATTAAACTTTGTTTGATTTTAGCAAAAATTGAATATATGAGGTTCCTTGATATGCTGAATCTAAACATGTATTTAGATTTTTGATTTGTAGGCCCCGCTATCAAATTGGTTCATATTGAGGTCAAAAGGGTCCAAAATTAAACTTTGTTTGATTTCATCGAAAATTGAATTATTGGGGTTCTTTGATATGCCAAATCTAACCGTGTTTTTAGATTTTTAATTTGGGTCCCGTTTTTTAAATTGGTCTTCATTGAGGTCCAAAGGGTCCAAAATTAAACTTAGTTTGATTTTAACAAAAATTGAATTCTTGGGGTTCTTTGATATGCTGAATCTAAACATGTATTTAGATTTTTGATTATGGGCCCAGTTTTCAAGTTGGTCCAAGTTGGGGTCCAAAATTAAACTTTTTTTGATTTCAACAAAAATTGAATATATGGGGTTCTTTGATATGCTGAATCTAACCATGAATTTAGAATTTTTATTTGTGGGCCCCGCTATCAAATTGGTTCATATTGAGGTCAAAAGGGTCCAAAATTTAACTTTGTTTGATTTCATCAAAAATTGAATTATTGGGGTTCTTTGATATTCCAAATCTAACCGTGTATTTAGATTTTTAATTTTAAGTCCCGTTTTTTAAATTGGTCTACATTAAGGTCCAAAGGGTCCAAAATTAAACTGAGTTTGATTTTAGCAAAAATTGAATTCTTGGGGTTCTTTGATATGCTGAATCTAAACATGTGTTTAGATTTTTGATTATGGGCCCAGTTTTCAAGTTTGTCCAAGTTGGGGTCCAAAATTAAACTTTGTTTGATTTTAACAAAAATTGAATATATGGTGTTCTTTGATATGCTGAATCTAACCATGTATTTTGATTTCGGACATTGGACCATAATAGGTAAATTAAAAAAATTCAAGTTCTTAGACCACATTCTTTCTGTGTCAGAAACCTATGCTGTGTCAAATATTTAATAACAATCCAAATTCAGAGCTGTATCAAGCTTGAATGTTGTGTCCATACTTGCCCCAACTGTTCAGGGTTCGACCTCTGCGGTCGTATCAAGCTGCGCCCCAGCGAAGCATTTTATTGATTTTTGGCCCAGTT